CTCATGATAATCCAGCTGATTTGATATCATGTGGAGCTGAACCTAAAGATCTTCATAATGATTTATGGTGGTGTGGACCAATATTTTTGACTAAGGACAGGTTCTTGACTAAGCCTTTTGAAGTAAATCTGATATGGCTGATGTGGAATACGTCAAAGAACTCAAGGATAATGACTTAGTTAATCTAAATGTGAACCCTAATTCATTTTTTTAGATAATATTCTTAGCATTAGTAATAACTATATTCGCAGTATTTGTGTGTTAAGTTTTGTTTGCAGATTCATAGCCAATTATAAGGAAAAAAATTTAATACGTTCTCTAACTGTTAAAGAATTGGATGACGTTGAGAAAATCATGATCAGGTATGTACAATTACAACATTTTAGCAAAGACATTTTATCCTTAAAAAATAACAAATGTATTTCTTCCAAAAGTAAGTTAAAAATTTCATGTCTATTTCTAGATAATGATTTTCTTCTAAGAGTAGGAGGCAGACTTGCTAATAGTAATCTTAATTACAATAAAAAATTTCCTTATGTAATGCCAAAAGATCATGTATTTACTAGATTAATTTTCAGTATTACCATGTTAAATATTTACACCTTGGTGTGCAAGCACTATTGCATCAGGGTTCTTAGTAAATTTTGGGTTTTTAATGGTCGAAATATAGCTCGAAAGGTTGTACATGAATGTGTAACGTGTTTTAAGGTTAAACCAATTGTATGTGAACAATTTATAGGAAATTTATCTGGTGAAAGAGTTAACCCAGAGTTTGTATTTAATACTTGTGGACTCAATTTTTCTAGTCCATTCCTCATCAAGTATAAAAATCAGAGAAAGGGTAATTATGCAAAAGTGTACTTTGCTATATTCATATGTTCAGCTACTAAAGCAGTACATTTAGGGGTAGTAACTGATTTAAATACAGATTCATTACTTGCTACTATTAAAAGATTTATTGCTAGATGTGGAAAATGCAATACCATAATGTCAGATAACGGTATTAATATGGTTGGTGCAAAATCAGAATTGAAAAAATTGCACAGAATCCTTAAATCTAATTCTGATGTAGCAGATCTCCTAACATCTGAAGGTATAAATTGGAAACTAATTCTACCTAGAGCACCAAACTTTGGTGGTTTATGGGAAACAGGTATTAAGTCATTTAAATATCATCTTCAGCGTACAATTAGCAGTCATAAATTGACTTTAGAAGAATTTTGGACTGTTGTCACACAAATTGAATGTATTCTCGATTCTCGTCCAATTTTATCTTTATCAACATATGCGAATGACTTTGAAGCCTTAATGCCGGGTCATTTTTTAATTGGACGTTCCATTACTTCATATCCTGAACCGGCTCTGTCTCATCTGAAGGATAATAGACTTTCTAAATGGCAGATCATTACTAAGTTTATTCAAGTTATTTGGAAATGCTGGCAAACTGACTAATTAAATCAGCTCCAACAACACACCAAATTAACAAAAATTTAAAGGCCTGTATGTTAGATGTGTTAAGGAAAGATAGTCTTTCCCCATTTAAATGGTCTTTAGCTAGAATTCTAGAAGTCTTACCGGGTAAAGATAATAAGGCCAGAGTTGTTAAAGTGAAAACATCAAATGGTGCGTATATTAGATCTATTAGTAAAATTTGTTTATTACCAATCCAGGATAATAATGCTTCACGTGATTGTGCTCTTATTGGAAATTGTGCTTTATATTAAAATGGAACTGTTTTAAAGAGTAAGTTCAACTGTAGCACAGTGAATGTTTATGTTCTTAAAATGTTTGTATTATTTTATATTATATTCATGATGAAAGATTACCTACTAGCTTTCATATATTACTGTAGAATTAGTTGTTCTTGAATTGTTAAATTGCATGTTTCTTTGTAATTTACATATTGAAATTTCAACAGGTGGCGGCATGTTACGTTAGAATACAGCGCCACCTATTGGATATGGAGAGAAACTCTCACTTGGCCATCTGGATTCGGCTAAGCAACATGCCAGAGCATGTATTAGAAATGAATGTAGTTTATTACTGTAAATAAATTAGTTCTTTTGCTATATCATCCTTCATTAGTCTAGAATCATAGTACAGAGACTATTTTGATAACATTAACCAAATGACAACATTAAGTGATAAGAAAAATTTCTTCAAAATAGCACTGGAATTTAACTAATTTAATATAAATTTATCAAAAAAATATATAAATAAGCATTTTCACAGCATTTTAATTAGGAAAATTTAAAAGTGCTGTTTATGAACTGTTCATAACATTTCTTGAAAATGTTTTATCAATGTCTACTTACTTATTTTTTTTAAATTGACGCACAAGAGAAAAAAAAGGTTCATTGTTCATTCTTTCAAACAATTTTAACAAACTGCATTAAACCACATTTTCGTTATTATCGCTTATAATAAATATGCCAAATTTCAAAATGTGCCAGAAAGCAAAATTTATGTATATCTTAGGAAAATTTGCATAAAAAACTAATTTTTTGCAGATATGCTTAGAAATACATCTACTTTAAGATGATGTTAAAAATTTTATAGGTTATAATAAAAAAGTTTTTCGAAAAATTTATTAAATTATTTTAAAGTGAATTCTATTTAAATTAAGCCTAAATTCCGAACTCTGAAAGAAAGAACCAGATTTAATAAAAGAGAGATATTAATAAATATATATCAAACTCAATTAACATTGAGGAGCTATAATTTTGAGAGCTAATTTTTTAAAAACTACTTGTGCAATTTTTACAAAGCTTCCCATTTTGGCATAATTTGAGTCACAGAATCAAAATGTGGAAAAAAGAATTGGCATGTCATTTCAGAAAAAGTCCAATTTTGTGTCAAAATACCTATATTAAAACAATGCTTTATATAAAACTAATACATATTCCAAGTAACGCTTTCGAAAAGCACAAGCTGAATTCCATCAAGTTTTCTGGCATTTGAGTGTGCCAACTTATTAAATGGATAAAAAGCAATGGGTTGTTAACTACGGCCTAAAAAAAAAAAAAAAAAAAAAAAAAAAAAAAAAAAAAAAAAAAAACAAAAAAAAAAAAAAAAAAAAAAAAAAAAAAAAAAAAAAAAAAAAACAAAAACTGGAAAGTTCAATAAATCCTTTAGAAAGATCTTGAAATTATTGATAACAATTATGTTTTAAAATGAACATAATTAACATGATTTATTTATTGTCAGCGCTTAAATTGCACCGGAGCCCAGCTTCGGTACTTCTCAATTTTCGGGATAAATTATAATTGTAGCCGGAGTGCACCGGAGCCCTAAATAAAAGAGCTCCGGCACTTCTTTTATGTAAGGGAACGACAATTTTAGCACATCATTTTTTTTTTAAATAGTAAAACATGGGTTAAAAGTCAATTCTAACTTCTGAATGCATGCCTATGTTTCCCTTGCACTCAAGCCTTGCACTGAGGTTGAGACTTTTAAGGAAGGAGAAGTCCCCCAATCATATGTCAAAGGCTTATTCTCCAAGATATGCAATAAATTTATAAGAACGGGTAAATTTTATATTTCTCAAAGAACTAAAAGTGATACCCTGGTTGTGTACGTTTCATGCTAGGTTTTTACTGCAGAGTTCCTGTGGACTTTCTGAATGATGTAACCAAATGGGAGGACCACTGGTGTCACTTGTACAAAGAACTCTTATGTTTATTCCCACGTTGTATTCAGGAAAATTTATTCAGAGAAAATTTCTACTTGACGGCTAGAATTATACCGGCAGGGTATCGCGATCAGACCATCTTGAACTCTTTCCTCTTTATTTTCAAAGCTACACTTCTCTGTTAAATTTCTTTCTATATCCTCATACCATTTCTAGAATTCTCACTAGTCTCCTTAGTGAAGCTTTAATCATTTTATCTTTTTTTCCTTGTTGCAAGAAAAGAGTGGTACCTGCCATTCCTTGAAATAGCATATTATGCATACAATCAGGGCTTAAACTCAGACGGCAATCGGTTGAGCTGCTTATTAGCATCTAAGTCGAACTGTATTTCCAGACGATGCTCCAAATAAGTCAAGTCCAATACTTTTCTTTTCTATTTAACTATTTAAAATTGATTTAGTAATTTATTAGATTTTTCTTTACCTCTAAATATTCTTAATTTTAATAAATTAATTAATAATAATTTAAATTTATTATTTAATTATTTTTATTTTTAGCTGTTTGTTTCCTTCCTCACAGTCTTCCATAGGGCTCCGGCACTTCTAATTTTAAAAATTAAGCCCTGGTTATTGTAAGATAAAAAAAGAAACTAAATGAAAATGATCTCAAGAGAAACAAAGCTTACTAAAATCATAAAAGATGAAAAGCATGCTATATGAAAAGTTGTATAAAGGACTTATGACAAGTGCCTGTTAAAAATATAATGCCCATACATTTTCTACAGCTTTAGGAATTTAATTAAACAGATTATGGCTACCCCAAACAAAACAGTTTGATTACCCTGTATAAAAATATATATACATCCAAAGTACTGAGTAAAAGAGGTTTATTGCATAGAAGTACTTTTTTACATTTAATACATGAAAATAATAAACTTTCTTTTGATATCAGGTGGAGCAATTGAATTTCATATTTTAAATGGCAGAAGGTGTTATACAGAATATAAATTGATTTTTGATACCACAAATATGTACAATTGCAAATCACAGCAAGAGATATAAATAATGAAAAAAATATTCAACACAGATATTCAAAAAAAATTTTCATTAAAATAAAAAAAAATGATGCCTGGAAGACTCATAATCATCTTTCCATGCAAGATATGAATAACTGAAAAATACACAATTTTATGTATGAAAGCAAAACAATCATAAAATCTTAAGTTCATATGCAATTCATAAGTTTCATTAGTTCCTTTCAGATAAAAAGTAAAACACTCTTTAAAATAAATAATTTTTCTCATTACTATTTAAGGCATAACTAATGTTCATTACCTAATGTTGTTTGTGATAAAATACTAATACATTACCTAAATCTTTAAGAGATGAAACATCAGCTTTAACAGCATATGATGTATCCGAAATTATATTTCTATAAAGCCCAGTTTGTGATGGTAAAAGAACTACATGTGAGCGCCTTTCTGATGTCAGAACTACATACTGCTTTTCTCTGCGGTCTAGGGAAGACGATGAAGGCCGACTTGTCAATTCTAAAAATAAAATATATAATTACCATTCTTCTTCAACAATTTTCAGAGACTGTATCATGTTTACTTTATTCAACATAAAAACTAAATAAGTAAAAAATATTTAATATCACTTATAACATTATTTAAATAAGCAAACAAAGTTATCAAACAGTTCAGTGGATCAATTATTTAATACTTTCATTTAGTGTGAAATGAAATGTTTGAAGAAAGTTTTAGTGATCTTTCCTATTTGTAACAATTACAAGACCATTTTTTGAAATACAGTAAACCATGCTGAATGGGGATTTGTGGAACACGATTTTTGCAAATATGCATTATTTTAATTATTTTCATTTAATTTGTCCAATGTCAGAATTGCATTCATATGTGGTTTAACATTCATTCATCAATATTAATGGTTGCCAGTATCAACTCTGGAAAGAAGTTCTCAGCAATTTTTAACAAATGCAGTTAGATTTTTGTAATGGGAACTGAGCCAAATAAAGAAACAAGAGGTCACTTTATGAGATATATTAAGAAACTCTGATCCTTACCACAAAATGTTTAAAGAGCTGCATCAGTCATCGTCTCAAGCAGAAATCACCAGTGTTTTGATAAAATAATTCTATCACATTCTTATTAAGTAGTAATTAAAAATCCTTTTAGTTAACATTTGTTTTCTTTTTCCTTTTAACTGTAACAATATTTAGATTTGTTTAAATTATACACACAGATTAAAAAATCTGAATCATATACACCTTTTTCCCCCACAGAAAGTTATCTTTGTGGAACATGATTTTGCTGTCTGCACAAAGATGTAAACCTCCCATTTAAAGACGTAAACCTCACATTTGGCAAAGGTTTATTTTGGATTTGGAATATTCAGTTATGGCAAAGCACACGAGGGCTATCTGCCTAAAGGGAGGGATGCCTTCGTAGATTACTTTCTAAGGGAAACTGGCTCGTATACACGTTATACATGGGGAAAACCATGAAAACGCCCATGCAGCCAGCCCGTTCGCGGGATTCGAACCTCGGACCGAACTACCAGTGTTCAGCGTCTTTACCGCTCGGCCGCTGGTGTGCCCTGGCAAAGGTTTAACTGTATAAGAAATTATAATGGACTTTAAACAAACAGCATGTTTGATGCATAGGACCATAATTGTTGGAGTCTTATATAAAAGAGAATTTCCGTGCTTCTAACTCAGTGGAATATGACATTTATGATGTAAAATCGGAATAAAAAGTTCTGAGTTACTTGACTCCTAAAAAATGTTTTACTGAACTGAGCTTTCAGAAATCATAAAAAGGTTTTCAGTTCATATTATTCACCAAATGAAAAGAAGAAATAAATAAATAATTCACCAGAAATAGTGATATTTTTCATACATTCCTTTTAAAAGAAATTAACACATTTTGTTGAACTCAGTATTTTAAATATATCATTAGGCCATAATTATTAGGTTTAGGCATTTTCTGATTCACATTTTTACCAAAAAAATTTAAGTTTTTTACTGAGTTTTTTTAAATGATTTTTCAGCTACGATATCTGCAATATCAAAAATAACTTTTATATGGAATGAAGAATTTGAAATTCAAAATAATGTAAATAAATAATTTTTTTACTAAAAAGGGAAAAACTTCTAATTAAAAAATGAAGAAACAATCAGAAAATGAAATATTGTTAGGGAATAATAATTAATGAAAGCATAAAGTGATTTAATGAAAAATATATCTTTCATATACAAGAAAAGAAAGAAAAATTTGTGTACTCATTTTCTTTTCTTCTTTATCTTTATCTTTCTGAAAGTCAACACTGTCAGGTATCACATTACCAGCAGGATCAAGAAAAGATACATTTAGGATTCCTCCTTTGAGGCGGTAGATGGTACCTAAAAACAATACCACATTTATTAAGTGCATTATTTCCAAGCTAGATTACTAAAACTGCACCTAATTAAACTTAACAGCTGAATTTGTGTAATTATTTATTTTACTCTTTACTATCATAATCTTCCATTCATTATGATTATACTTAGATGAATAAGAAACAAAACATTTCAAATAACAAGGCACTATAAAACCAAGTGATAATAAATCTCCTGACTGCAAAAAATGGCTATGCCACACAGAGGATTAATTACTTCTAACTAATAAGCATGTTTTGTTAACTGAGATTTGTATGTAACTCTACAAAAATGAATGCAACTATGTGGGTCTTGCCCATTATCTTAGTTTCTTTGTATTACAGTTTGACCAAACCAAAGAATGTCACAATGCGATATTTAAACACTAGCCCAAAGCCTTTGCCAACATTTGACTCTAGTAGGAAGGCGACATTCTTAAGAAACCTTCAATTTGCTTTGGAGGATATTTGACGTAATGTCAATGATGACTGGACCATTACACTACACGCTCATATAGATATTAAGAACTCAGACTCAGAATATTTTATATCCCTTTCAGTCGAGACTGTCAGAACAGAGATCTCAGATCTTCTTACTTGTTTCCTAAGTAAACCTCCTCAGTACAAAAGGGGACAATCCTTTAAGTGTACTTGACAAATTAGACTCATATAACTCATGTGCTAAAATACAAGATGATGAGACTGATTTGTCAGGAGATTTGAATCAGTATTTGCAAACTTAAATCTGTAAGCTAAAAAAAAGGATTAAGAACTACTTTTAGATTAAAAATTGGAGACATTTCCTTGATTATATATTTCCCCTTGGGGAGGGGTAACAACAGCCTGCACAAAAGTGCTCTGGTGATATAAATATAAATTAGAAGTGAGGCTAGCTGGATATGCAAAAAATACCAAATACTATTTGCTGCATTTACATCTTTGCTTTGAACAATAGGACTCTTTTTAACCTTTTGAAGCCCACAATATTTTTTTTTTGTGTTTCTGATATTGAATAATGAACAATTGTTTTAAAGTTTTTTAATGACACCTTTCTTTGATGCTAGTTTTAATTCTCATTTTCATTCTTTTTTATTTTACTGGGCTGCTCGTCACTTAATGGCAGAAGTGCCATGGACGAGAGTAGGATAAAAAATGTTTTCCATAGATTACTCCAAATTGTATACAGTCTAGTATATCTTGTAAGAGAAAGCTATACTAAAAGTATTATATCACAAAAAAGGATTATTAAATATTTCAAAAAATATTATTAACCAAGTGGCCTTCATCAGCAGGAGGAAGAATATTTTCCTCTTCATCATTTTTGTCCTTAGACATCATAGATCTTGAATCAGAGGGAATCTACTCAAACAGAACAAAAGTCTTGCTATCATTTGCATGGCATTTTCAAATTCCGAATCTATATAATATAATTTATCCATAGCATATAATTACTTTAAAAGTCCTGAATTAATATACTATAATAAAATCTAACAAAACACTTTTGAAAAACTCTACGAATGAAGATCCAAACAAGATGAAACGCCTGTGACTGAACACAATCAGAAAATGAGAAACTTTTCTCACAAACAGATACAAAATCTAACAAGGACTCACCCACCCCTAACATACATGTCTGCAATAAACATCCCACACAAATGCATTATTAACTTTCAGAAGGTTCAAATGAAACCACCAGTAAATGAATCCGAATAGAAAATAAGAAACTTTTCTCACATACAGAGTCAAAATTTGGCAAGGACCCTTTCACACCCATGATACCATACAAATAACAACTCATACGAATATGTTATCGGCAAACAATCCACACAAATATGTTATCAGCTTTTGGAGAACTCAACTGAAAAATCTTCCTACAACTGGTGCAAGAATTCTCAGTCATAAATCAAATGCAAGTGTCGCTCAAGGCAGGCAATGTTCAAGCTGTGAGAACACTATTGAGACAAATTATTGTTTTTTCCTAATCTTAGTTTAAAATAAAGCTGGATTCATATATTTTGGATTTATGTAACATATTTTGATGTTTTTTCAAATTAAAGATTATTTTAATTTTTAAAATGCCATAATTTGTATGCTTTAAAAACAACCTTTAGCAAATGTAATAAATGGAGAACACTAACCATTAAATGTTTAATTTCTAGGGTGCATTGGATATTTAAAAGCATAATATCAATTCTAAGTATCAAACATCTCATTAGAAATATATTTAAATTCAGAAAAAATTAGAAAATTTCCATTCTTGTGTTGAGAACAGCACATGGCAAAGGGTTAAGAACTATTAATAACTTTACATAATGTTTGTTTTAGGTCTCTTTTAACCCTTTTTTTTGCAACAGGTAATACATTTTTTGCAATTTAAAAGAATGCATATTATTCTAACATATAGTTATTTTGTGTAAATAAATGAACTTTTGGTTGAAAACTATTTTATTTTCTCTGCAATGCACTAAACATGTAAAGAAAATTGAAAATCATTCGATTAATTTAGTATCCAAGAGATTTATGCGAATAATTATTACATTGAAATACCAAGAGAGAAGAAATCAGTATGACTGAACAATGAACAATTAATTACCTTTAGTATGCACAACTAAATTTGATTTCAGTTTTAATTTTGAAATATTATGCTTATTTTTTTTAATCTTAAAATATTGAATTAGTTGCAGCATAGCATGTATGCTAAATTACTATCTAATTTTTCTTTTTAAATGAAGATGTTATGAAAAAAATGCAGAATTTATTATTCAAAACAAATTTTTGCCTCGCTTTTATTCAATTGTCTAAACATACTTGCTGATAAATTATTATTAGACATGTTAAATAGAAAAAAAAAAAAAAATACAGTTCATTTACCACTTGGTGATATTATTACTGGTTGCAGGAGACGAGTTTCACCAGGAGGAGGTATTATGAGCAGGAAGACAAGAACAGATCCTAAGCTAGTGCCAACCCACAGGCTAGGACTTGGACAAGAATCTAGTAAAAAATGATAAATAATTCAAATAAAAAAATTTCAGCATTTTAAAATCAATAGAAATTATGTTCAAAAGAAAGAATTTTTGTATTACTTTACAAAAAAATTGCCAAAATTTATTTTTATCTAAAATAGCTGTTAATAACTATATATCATAAACTGAAAATCTTGCTCTTGTTAAAAGTTTTAGTATTTTATTACAGTATGAATAAACATGAATATCACACTGCTAGGGATGTTTAGGAAACTCTTTTGTTAAGCTCACAGCTTTATTATGTTGTTAAAAAAGACTATTTTTAAATATAAGAAATTTACACACATTAAAACTTTCAAAATTGCAAAAATACTGCATATTGACATAATGTAGGATCCACATTAGTAAAAAATATATTGCAAAAATTATCAAAAAGCTTATTAATAAAAGATGACAGAAGAATAAAAAAGATGTACAAAAGGAACTGAAAATTGCAGAGAAAGAAAGAATATTTTTAGGGAGAAAAGTGTAAAAATAACAAATATCTAAAATTATGTGATGACAAAATTAATTAGCATTTACATTTCAATATGAAGCTAAATAACAGCATTAGAAACAAAATTATAATTTTTTTTACTAAAATGGATCGAGTGGACTAAAATACACACATGTGGCCATCATGTGCACATTTATAATTTAGTTAATACTATATAACATTGGTTGAACTTCATATCAGTAAAAGCAACAATATGGAATTCAAGAAAGTTTGAGAGCTGCAACTAGATTTTCTAAAAGCCACAAGTCAATATTTACATTATTTTAAAAGCAATGAAATGAATTTCAAATGGACAAAAACTTTTGGTAACATAGTAAAATGAATTGGAATAAATTAATTACTTTCTTTCAGACATTTAATAGTTTTATTTGCCATATTTTATACATATATTTTATTTGTATGAGAGCTGCACCACTCACCTGGAAGCTACCCAAACTATGTAATCATATTTAATTATTGAATTAATTATGCATTAAAAAGAGAATTATTTTACATCCCCCTTGGCAAATATTACAAAAAAAATTGAGATGTAATTATTGTTTAATGAAAATGGATCAAGACTTTGGGTATATATTTGTAATTTAATATTTTGTAGTTGCATTTAATTAATCAATTATTTATTACAAATTCACTTACTTAGCATTTAATATTTCTTTGCAAAAATCATCAATACATAATATGTAGTACAGCATGCTCATAAAAGAATACCCAAGTTACAAATTTTAATAACTAGATCAAATGTAAATGTTAACTAAAAAATGTCAACTAAATAAATCAAATGTAAGCATTGTAGAGTATTGGTTCAAGATCACAATTAAAGAGTACTCAAACAATTTTAGATAAGCACATGTGCGAGTACTGCTTTATTGTTTTCTTGCTTGCAGTTTCGCATAAGCAAAATGGTGACTCCTAATGTAAAGTACTTTGCGTTCTGCAATTTAATAAGACTGAATCTGTAATTTGAGTTCAACATGCATTTCATTTAAAGTTTCATTGTGATACCCCTTGTAGAAAAAGACATTCGATGGTAGAGACAATTCAAAAGGACCAAGGGTGTTTTAAAAGGGAAAAACACAGGATGAGTGTTTGATGAGAATGTGGACTGTGTCACAGCATCTTATATTCCTAAACCTAAGAAATCTGTCAGGAAATTAAGTCTTGAACTTCACTGCGAAAGACAACAGTTTGGAATCTTTTAAGAAAACATTTGCATATGCATCCATACTGGTTACAGCTGGTATATGTTTTAAAGTGAGATGACAGTGGTGTAGACTTTGCAAGTGAAGTGCTTGAGTGGGAAGATTACTTTTTTGATCATGTGATGTTACGTGATGAGTCAACTTATCATTTAACTGGAAAGGTAAATATTCATATCTTAGGGTTAGACCATCTTAATAAATTTGTAGAACATCAAAGAGATTCCCCCAAATTAAATGTTTTCTGAGCTGTGTTTTGACATCAAGTGTATGGGCTATTTTATTCCAATGAAGCTACCATAACAGGTGGCTTATCTGGATATGTTACATGAATGGCTCTTTTCTGAAACACTACAGGGTGAACCTATAAACTTTATTTGGCAACAAGATGGAGCCCCTCCTTATTGGAATCTCTTTGTATGAGTGTGGTTGAAGTTCCTCACTGCTGGTTGCAATGATCAAGATGAATAGCTCTTTTCGCCAGCCTCCACATTCACCTGATCTAATGCGATATTTCTTTGGCGCTTTTTTATAAAATTTCATGTCCCGTTCCACTGCTACCTAACATTTTTGCCAGAGTTGAGATACAGAATTGAAGAAGCTCTTGTTTCTGTTACACCAGACTTGTTAACCAAAGTTTGGGAAGAATTGGACTATAGGTCGGATGTGTTCTGTACAACTGCAGGTGAACATATTGAACATTTGTAAGAAAAACCAGGCTAGTTTACCTCCAGTTTGATATATGATTTGTTGTAAATAGAACAAATTAAACAACTGTAACATACCATTGAAACTAGGACACTCTTTTATGGACACCCTGTACAATATTTTTATTTCTTTTTAATAAAATTCCCTTGTGAAAAGAAACCACAAGAAAAAAGTAATCATTAAAAAAATATTAAGATTTTTGTGTTGCAGTTCATTAATTATTGTTGATGATCAGTACTATTATTCAATTATTTTCTCAGATACAGTGGTCATTTTCAGAGATGATTGCTACAAAAGGTTTTGCTGTATACAGTTTAATTAAATGAACATGTGTTGAATATTAAATATTATATGAAAATATACATATGTTTACATACTTCAAAAGCTTTACTTTGAAAATGCACACTTTCATAGAAAAATGTTTCAGGTTCAAAAAATGATATTCAATTTAGACAATATATTTTTTAAAAAAGCTTTCATGCCTTTCTTCCACCAAAAATCTCATTATAAAACAACACACATATATATTTCAAGAATATATTTTGTAAAATTATAAAAATTTGTAAACTAATATATTTGATTTAAGACAGAAACTAAACATTCTTCCAGTCAAAGAGTGGAATGAATAAGAATTTGTTCAGCAAATAAATTACTATAAACTATGTATTAATTAAAATTAATACAGTTCATGTTTTCTAGAAATATTAAAAAATTTAAGCAAAATTTATTGGCATAAAATTCTAGCATAAGTCAAAAATTCAAATTTAATTCAAAATAGAGATCTTACCAGTCTTTCCGCCGTATGATTCACAAAACCTAAGAAAGACAACATATTCAGCAGTGTTTCCTTCTTGAGTATTTATATCTTTGATGCTTGATGTACTAGAGCTACGAGATCTTGAAAAGGCATTTTCAAATTTTTCTGCAATGAAAATATATCACTTTACCATAGTTTTATTCATAGCAATTAATGTAACACGATAATCAACTCAAAAAGCCTTATATTTCTCTAATATATATATATTTTTACAGCAAAATAGTTCCAAGGAGAGCAGTAGCCTTGTGTACATGTTACAGAAATGCTGTTACAAAAAATATAAAGATAGACATAAAAATACTAGTTATAGTTAAATACTCATTTAGCAATTTTGATGAGATTTTGATTAATCAAAATTATCATGAAATTGAAAATACGTCTTCATTTAGTTTTAATACGAAAATATGCCTCTTTAATATGAGCACACAGTTTCATATAATTTTACTGATACACCTCACAAAATGTAAAAATAATTTTATTTGCAGTTATAGGTTATCTTACTTCAAGTAATTCTATTTTGAACACACAATAAAAATTATTTAAAAAAAGCTTTAATATAGATCAATTGTTCACATTTCAAAGTAATATTATTAACAGTGAAATGAACTGATTGTGCACACTTTTCCCTTTGTATTAGGAAAATAAGTTTTCTAAAAAAACTGAAGGCAAAGCAAATTCTAATTCAGAAGTCAAACAACAAAAATCAGCATTATATTTTCAAAATTTTTACAGGACTAGTTTCGATGGTTTTACCGAACCACCATCCTCAGCTGCAAAACCACAAATGAACAAGATAGGAAATAATGATTAGATAAGATAAGAAAGCCTGGACAAGAATAAGCAAGTGGCGCCATCTGTTGGTGAAACCAGAACTAAAACATAATTTCTTTAAAGGTCGAAAGCAAAGACGGATTGGAATTAGGATCGTTAACTAGAACAGAAAGATTTTTTTGAATGTGAAATGCCTCTAGAAAATTCAGTTCTCCAATGGAAGATCTTTTTTGAATAATTTTGGCAGCAGAAAAATTGAAAGTGTGATTTTCGGACCAACAATGTTGAGCAACAGAAGACTTCTGTGTTTCCTTTTTTCTAACATATGCCTCATGTTCCTTGACACAAAATTTTAAGGCTCTCCTAGTTTGGCCAATGTAAATCAAATCACAATGGCAAGGAATCCTATAAATACCCCAAGAATTCATATCCGGAATGGGGTCCTTGAGTAAGGAACTCGGAAATTTATTGATGGGAGAATAAACAACCCGAAAGTTAAATTTCTGCAAAATATGTGCAACTTTATAGCTAATCGATGGAAAGAAGGGAATGACAACAGAATTTTTATAATCTCCTAAAACAAGAGTGTGCCTTTTAGTGTGTTGAGATGAGATTTTTTTAACTGCTTGATTAACAATGTTGGGTGAAAAGCCCCTGTCAATAGCTATTGCTTTTAAATAATTTAGTTCTTCATCAAGGGCTAGTTTGGAGGAGCAAACTTGAAGAGCACGGAAAACATAGGAATAAAATGAAGCTAACTTTTATTTAATCAGATGACATGATTTAAAGTGTGGTGGAAGGCAAACAGATGAAGGTTTACGGTAAACCGTAGTACTGAATTTGGATGTGTTACGTGTGACCAGAATGTCGAGAAACGGAAGAGAATTGCAAGTCTCAAGTTCAAAATTGAACTGAATAGCAGAATTAATAGAATTCATTGTTGAAAGAACTTTATTTAAATCATCTTTATTACCTTCAAACAGGGTAAAAGTATCGTCTACGTAGCGGATCCATGCCGGGAAGTTTAAAGTTTCAAACAATTTTGATTCATAATAATGCATGTAGATATCAATAATTGTTTCAAAATAAAAAGCATCTTCACTTAGAAAAAAGAGAAATGAGAAACTACAAATATTCTTACATAATCTTTAGTAGCAAAAAAGAACAGCATTAAATTAGCATAAAAATATGTTTCTAAATTTGCAGCACAGTTTTGATAAGATAAAGAACAACAAAACACAATTTTTTCATATGATTTACCAAAACCACACAGGTAAATAATGGCACAGAAAATAATCAGAAGTTCAAAAATTTTATTCAACCATTTTTTAAACAAATACTCAAAAGTGTGACAGACAGTCATAATATAAACTTCACAGTTTTATGAATGCACTGACAGACTCTCAAAAATATTATGCATTTCATGAATTGAAACTGCTTACAAGATGCCCAGGGGAGACGGGTATTTTGAACACAAAAATTCAAATATCCTCAAAAGATAAATTCCAGACAAAACAAATTCAGCATTATCAAGGGATAAGTCTAACTTGGGGAACTCACTCATCCTCAAAAGTAAACATTTAAGTAATTATACACTTCCATGCTAAAAATGTGCTGATGCCTCACTATGCTGAAACATACTTGATGCTACACAGATATTACCCAGAAGATATGCTACTTCTAGAAAAGTGTATCAAATATTCCCATTGGATTGATTTGTCAAAGGCAGAATCAAAATATCATTTGAATTGCCAACTTAAATATTGAGAGAGAATTTCTCAGATTTCTTTTATGGCAAACATGATTAATGTGCTTGTTAAATACTTTCTCCTACATGTAAGTAGTTTCATCTACAAAGACGGCATATGCCTGAATATCCAGTTGCAGTGCTACAAGCATATTCACAAAGCCTACAGACCATTTCTCTACGGGCTGCTCTCATTGGAGGAAATATCTGCTTGGCGGTCATATTTGGAATGGCGAGTTATCGCCCTGTAGGCGTGGTAATTAACACCAAATAAACAGAAACAGCGTTTATTTCATAAGTTTATAAATGAAAGCTTAGAGTAATTGTATGGAAAATATTTTAAATAACCTACTGATCTTATTAATAGTTTATTTGTATTTGAATTTAAACTTTTAAAAGAACGTAATTGTTTTACAAGAAAAAGGTGTTTACATGGAGATAGCATACGCACTTTTTCATCATTTCTGTTAGAAAGAGTCTGTTGTGTAAATTTCCATTGCGCATTAACTTATAAAGGAATATTAAAAAAATAACCAAATGAAAACATTCAGTAAACATTTAAGGGCGTCGAATACCTATTCTTTTTACCTAAATTACAATTTTCGGGATCTTGGATCATAATATTGCTACTTGTACCTACTACAAAGAGTACAAACCATAAAAATAAGAAAAATTAACATTAATAAAAATAGAGAAAATAATTTTAAGGCATTTAATTTTTAACACCGCATCCAAACATGAAACGACAAATAATGACACATTCAATAAAGTTAAAATAAAAACAAATTCCGTGTAGTGTAGAGTTTATGAAAGCTATGAGCGGGGATAGAACCACCGACCTAGAAGTGTGAGAATTATCCAACGCTCGTTACCACTGAGCTGCGGGTTCTCCGGCAGGTTATGCACACTTTTTGGTACATGACGCTCAGATACAAATTATAAACGTGATGAACCAAAAGCACTAGATTCTGTAACCCTACGTTTCCTGTTTTAACCAATCGGAACAAACAGCAGTAGAAATGGTCTGTAGGCTTTGTGAATAAGCGTGCTACACCCTCTTGTGATGGATGAGGATTATTTTCATTACAATGAATTTTCTTCTTTTGGTGCATGAATTCTCCACAAAAGACTAATTGTTGCTTTTGCAAAACCTTGCATATTGTGGTACAGCTCAAAGACATGCTGTGTGTTACGATTCTTATGCTTGGTTATTCTTCAGTACTATGTAGAACATGTTCTACTTTATGATTTCTTACAGTTTTTGCTCAATCTATATAATGATGTCCATTGACAATGAATATTTCCATTTCACAAAGCTCACTTTACAAACATTTGAACACTTTACAAATTACCACTTGCAAAGAAAATGTTCATAGTAATCTTTTTCAAATCTTTTTAGCAGTTCCATAAAATGCATGTGTATTTTATTAGCATTTGTAAATAAATCAATTACAGGAGAAGTACAAGTTGCAATTGTACTTCTCCTGTAATTGATTGTAATTGTAGCGTTCATTTTGTTAAATCCCAATCGATTTAAGGGTCAAAACAGGTCGACCTTCATCAGGAACAAAAAATTATGCAAAGAATGGTTCTGCAAGGTTTGCAGAATTTTTTGCTCCTGATGAAGGGGGACCCATTTTGCCCTAGATGAAATTATACCAGAGAGCAGCTTATGGTATTTTCCTGCTTCAATTTAGGGCATATATTTGTATTAAGAAAAATACTTTCTTTAGTGTGCTCTACCATCTCTTAAAGTATATTCCATGAATTTAGAAATACTCTATATTAACTTTTTATATAAAATTTTAAACAACAGCTCTGATATAAATTTACTATCTAGTGCAAATGTACTTTGCTATTTAAAAATGTAAACCTATTCTTTTTTTAAAAAAAATAAGTATACAATTTGTTTCAAAAACAATAAATACCTTGAGAGCGGGCATGACGCATCTCTGCATGGACAGATCTTCTATGTGGATGTGACCGACTGGTTGGACTCAAGCATGCAGCATCAGAAGATTGCTAAACATAATTAAAAATGAATATTATCTTCCTATTACGTTTTCATATTTAAATTCAAACTATGATCTGGCATAATTAAAAAAATTACACTAGAAATAAATTTTAAAAAACTAGTGGGCTGCTTAAAAATGAATCACATCTTTTAGATGCAGTCAAGCTCTCAGAAGGAAAAAATACAGAATAAAATTGCTTAATGTTATGTTTATTTTTATTAATATGGAACAGATGAGAGACTAATTATTCTCTATTAGTTACAATAGGCAACATATAGACCTTGTGAATTTATTTAGTGTAGAAGAGTGTTAAATACCCAACACTGAAGCATTTATTTCACTACACTGTTTGCAAATGAGACTCAAAATAAATATCCCTCTACTAATAAAATGCTTTTTGGTTTGGCAGGATGACAAATTTGCCTACTGAAAAAAAAAATAACATTTCAGAGAATGCTTCCTTTGATCGTCCCTAAAGTTCCCACACTTTTTAAAAAAAGTTAAGGGTTTGGAAATCTGAATGCCAAACTTAACATCAAAATCGCATTTAAATATTTTGAAATAAAATCCCGACTGACATTTCAATATAATGTTCTATTTGTTATAACATTCATCCTCTCATTTATATATATATGAAGCAGTGCGTCACCTTACAAAATTGATAGTAAACACCCTTTATATTCAAGACAAGAGAAACACGCCAACGTGGAAAATAAAACAGGCAAATCGACAACCTTGTATTTTTGTAGCGTTCATTTTGTTAAATCCCAATCGATTTAAGGGTCAAAACAGGTCGACCTTCATCAGGAACAAAAAATTATGCAAAGAATGGTTCTGCAAGGTTTGCAGAATTTTTTGCTCCTGATGAAGGGGGACCCATTTTGCCCTCATAATCGATTGGGATTTTATAAAATCTACACCGAATACAAGGTTGTCGATTTGCCTGGTTCATTACCCTTTATATTGTTAAAAAATCTTTAAACACATCTAATATATCATACTTGATATCGCAGTACAAACGAAATTTTATACTACATATTTTAGTTATTTGTTTTAGAAATAAAACAACCACAGCAGTTTTGTTATGCTACACATGTTGGGGGATATTTAATTTTGAACATCTTAATTGTAACTGAATGCAGTTTGATCTTTCAATATATTTGACGCACTTAAAAATAAACATAAGTGACACACTGACCAAGCTTTCTCCTAGTACCAAAGATAATACTTGTATTTAAAATCGCTAATAACATTGCTTTTGAGATAGGGAGGGGGTATATCCATCCTTCTGAGGAGCTCATTGTGATAAACAAAACAAAACAAAACAAAAAAAAGGGTTAAAAATAAGTATATATATATATATTACTGGTTGTTTTTTTTTATCATGTATCGGCAACATGCATATGTTAAAGCTTTAATATTAGAAATGCCAATGTTGAATTCTAACAAATTTTATTCCGCCTAAACTCCCTTATCAAATGGGCTAACTGTTTGAGTGTTAAAGAAATCTTGAATTGGTATATTTTACTTTAAGGTACTATGTTTAATATTCTGCCTAAAATGCATGCATATCTGATTTCACATTTGATTTCCAGAAAGCTAAGTAGGAAATTTTATTCCCCAGCATAAACCAACAAGCAGTCATATTGATACAAACAACATATTATTACGCATGTACAGGTTCGTAATGGATAGAATGCACACAGAACCAATGAAAGTTTGATGAATTTTATTTTTCCAAAATACTTCACATTTCTTGAACTTTTCACACAAATGTATGATTATTACGCATGTACAGGTTCGTAATGGCTAGAATGCACACAGAACCAATGAAAGTTTGATGAATTTTATTTTTCAAAAATACTTCACATTTCTTGAACTTTTCACACAAATGTATGAGTACATTTGTGTGAAACATACATAACAGAGCACAATCAATGGTCTTCAGCATAACAGATCATAATCAGTAGTTACCACTTCAGGCTACTAAGAATGTTGAAGGCATTGCAAAGAGCATAAAGAAATGAATGCTCACACGATAACACTCTCAGCTAAGCTGAAAATTGATGCTCTTTCTGGTCTTATACGTAGTTTTCCCCCCTCCGCCAGAGAAATTTCCAGTAGCTTCGATTTTGCAAAATTGCTGGAAGGCATACACAAATCAGTTACATAAAGATGGATACAGTTACAGCTACACAGGGATCAGACTAAAATATCACCAAGCTTGGCCCATTGGCGAAATAGCTGTTTACCTCAATGTTAAATGGAGTTAACCTCTGTACCCCAATTTTTTCATCAATGCTTCACATTCTGAAGCCTTTCATACTACAATATATAACATATACTACAATTTAAATATATAATTTCACTACAATTACTTACATGCATACAAAAGTTATAACAATATCGTGCAGTGATGAAACCAAATGTACAAATATAATTTTGTGCCGAGCAGCTACTAGACAACTTAGAACAGGAAATATAATAATGTGTAAAATTTTTAAATGGTATACACATGAAGTATGGTCATAGCACATTAATAAGAATCATTCTGCTAGTTTATGTTAAAATGCAGAAGGAATTATAATGCCAGGTAATGTTATGGTGTTAATTAAGTTGATGTAACAAATCTGGTTTCATAACTAAAAAATACATAATGATATAGCGATACAGAATATGTCCATTACCAGTAACATACCTCATCACATGGAGAATGTCCCTGATCTTGATCACTACTTGAATTAGCACAGCTACTTGTCCTCCTAGGTGATTTGGGGGGCCTCTGGTATGGATCCGCAGATCCTAAAATTATATGCACAATATAAGACAAAACTGCATTAAACTTATATACTATAATTTTAAACTTTTGCATTACAATAACAAAAAAAAAAAAAAAAAAAAAAAAAAAAAAAAAAAAAAGCATATTATCACAGATGCGATTACAGCTATTATACTTTCTTCTTTTAAATCAGCATGCACTTGCTGATTAGGTAAAATAAAATACAGAACAAACAGATCATCATTAGATCACATTTTTAAGAGATTAGCACTTAATGATATCTTTCAATTATATATTAATTACCATAATTATTAATTTCAATTTCATTCATAGAAAATTAATTGTCAGCCTTTTTAGTTTGCCATCATAAATAAAAAATTATCAACTTTATTTACAATGTGAATTTTAAGAATACAAACTAATTCAGTAGTAAAAACAATTTACAGGCCAGCATTTGCATTTGAAGATACCTACTTAAAACTAATCAAATATAGTAGTAGAAGCCATGTTTATATTCTGAGTAATTTAATATGTTCATCATAAACTATATATTAAATTATTCTGGTGTTTATATATATACATTCATATAAAAACTTCAGAGAATTATATAAACTAGTAAGATAGGAAAAATCGAGATTAAAAAATTTAAATATTGAAAAAAAAAAAAAAAAAAAAAAAAAAAAAAAAAAAAGTAATTTTAAGTCCTGGAAATAATTTTAATTGGCTGATTTGAAATGTACCTCATCACTTACATCGTAAAAGAAACAAATTGTTTAAAGATATTAGCCAAAAATTTACTTTAGGTTTACTACTAGCATCATAGAACTTATTAAACGTTTTACACTTCATAGAGGCAAAAAACGAGATTTTTGAAACTAATTTTCAAATGTTATAAAGTAACATGACTTGTTTTAAAGAAATAATTATTTTAATAAATATATTTCAAAGCTCCTTTAAGCTTAACTGGCAAAAATATATATTATGCTTTGAATCAAAATTAAGTACTATTCTGAGGTTGCAGCACAAAAAAACTGATAATTTTACAAAGTTATTTTGATTTAATACTTCATTCTTATCAATTTTATTGGATATATTCTGTATAAATGTTAATCATTTTAAGTGTATAGACAAAATTGCTTTATATAATAGCTCAATTTATGATTTTATGCACAGTGGTCCCTTATTCTCTAAAAGATGTATGTAGTTGCCAACATTACTGTTTCCAAGTCCATGAGTTAGCAGAAATAAGATACAAAACAGCCATCACTAGCCTACATAACTACTGCCTATGATATGTTGGGCAATAAGTGGAGCAAAGAGGAGGTTTACAAAAGAAAACCACTCAATCCAAGGAATGACAACAATCTTTACTGTGCTCAATTACATTTCACAGAACTTTTTATGGTCATCAATAACTAAATAATTTACATAAACTAAGTTAATTTACTTAGTGCCAGAGTATATCATGCAACACAGGGATTCTCAACCAGAAGAGAGTTCACCCCTTTGGGAGGGGCTGTTAATTACACTGAAGTGCCACTGAATTAGGGATAGAGATGGCTATGCAAATTTTGTAACACTGAGCCACATTTACGCTCACGTGTGGGCATTGTGATAACTGCATATATAGCAAGTTCTATGGTTGTTGTTAATAAGTTGTTTCGAGTGGCAGAATGTATAAAACTTCTGATTTGGACACCTTCGATCACAGATAGATAGTAGGCGTTTGATTCATGGATCATTGTTTCCAAAATCGTCAGAGGGCTATGAGTTTCAACGCCGACAGAGTTCAAGGGTATACTGAGAATACACGGATGGTAGTGGTGAGGGGAACTAGCAATTGAGCAAACTGAAAAAGATAATTATAGTTGAATGAGCATGGTGTGAGATGACTCAGCTGTATTGTGCATAGCCAGCGAAACCAAACATTAGCTCAAATTACCACCCAGCTGAATCAAGGCACCAGTAGTATAGTCAGTAAATGGATTATGCAGTGCTCACTTCATCATATGAGATTCAGGAGCCATAGACCAATGAGAGTACTATTGCTCAATGTATGTCATTGGGTTGCATGTCTCGCCTGGGCAAGAGAACATGAAGTGATGTTCGATATTACGAGTAGCATGAAGTGATGAGCCTCAATTCCAACTACTTAACACCTACAGGTGGCTGAGAATATGGCCTCAGCTCATGAAGCCATGAATCCTGTATGCCAGGTTGGAACTGTACAAGGCCATAGCAGCTCAGTCATGGTCTGGTACATTTTCTCTTGGCAGTGTTTGGGATCTTTGGTACTTATACCAACCTCCCTCAATATGATTCGGTATGTAGAGTTGCTTGGAGATCATCCCCACCCATTTATGCTGTTTTGTCATTCACATTGAAATGGAGTATTCTAGCAAGATAACGGCACCTCTTACAGGTTGCGGTTGACTACTGCCTGGATAGACGAGCATTCCTTTGACTTCTCTGTCATGAATTGCTACCTAGACGCCTGACTTAAATCCTACCGAGTACCTTTCAGATGTTTTGGAGAAAGGTGTGAAACCACATCACACAACACAAGTAATACTTCTTGAATTATAGACAACTCTATCCGATGTTTGGCAGCCATTCTTGTAGAATGTTTCCACAAACTTATTGAATCTATGTCTCATCGTATGGCAGCCATTATCAAGGCCAAAGGATGTCCAACTCATTAAGGACTTGCTATCCCCAATTCAGTGGCACTTGAGTGTATTTAGTTTTAGTTTACGAATATAAAAAAATACTTTTATTCAAGTTTTGGTATTTATCACCATTTTCTACGATTTTAACACATTAAAAATATATATATTGGTATAATTTGAAAGGATGGTGAGGAATGATCTTCCAGTGATGGTGAAAGATGTGCATGGGTCAAAAAAGGTTGAAAACCACTGATATAACAATAATCTTAACAAAATTTATTAACAACTTAAAAAACTATTCTAATTTAAAAGAAGCACTGATTTACTAGATATTTAGCATGGAAAATGCAAAATTAGTTAAAGGGGGCTGTTGATATAAAACATATTTTACATCACACATAGTTAATTTAACTCATAATTATAAATGCTTTGATTTGTAACAGAAATTATAGCAACAACATATAAAAAGAAGTTTCGTTCCTGAAAATCTGTTCAAATGGTTAACTGTTAACTACACTGATTGTTGTCCAGCATTCCACCTCATTTTAGCAATTAAAACATGATAAATTTACTTTCAATTCTGCCTACTATTACCAATCACTGTATGTAGTTTTCAAAGATAATTAAATTTCCTCCCCCCAAATGGCAATACTTGAATTAAAATCAGTACATGTAATGTGGGGCATTTATGATATGTATAACTCTGGTAATAAAAACTTAAACATTACATAAAAATTTCCTTTTAATTTATCTTTTTTAGTCCTTGAAGGAAATCCATACTACATAATATGATAAAAAAATCTGAACATCAAATGTGACAATGCATAAAAAATCTGGAATAAAGAATTTTATATACATAACTAAAGAAACATACCATAAAGATCAGGAGTTGCCATGTTTAATAAACACGTCTTTTGTATAATATCAACAATAGCAAGTCCATGTTCATTGCCATAGGCCATTCTACAAAATATCAAATATACATAAGCTAATAATAAGGGGAAAAAATGATAATATTATTTTGTAAGAACTAAAAGCACTTTTCTGAATTATATAACATAAAATGTATTATAAATATTTAATGGTCTAAGTAACTACAGAATTAAATCTACTTATCAGGTAATAAATGTTTATAATGCCTAAGAATAAAGTGAGAAATATATTCAAAATGAACTACAGCCAAACTCAATTTGAATAAAAACAAGTTAGGAGTAATTTGAAATTGTAAAGGCCTTTCTTGAAATAGAATTTATTTCAAAAACAGTTTTTAAAATAAAGTAGATTTAACCTGTTTGTATCAACTTGTGTATTTGCCATGCTGTTATCATAATCACATACTTTAGTACAGAATTATCAAGTTTCTTTCATTCCACCTATATCTTAAGAAACTTTTATGTTCAAAATAATTATATGGAATTTTTTTAAAAATTTATCCTTTTCCTTACTTTAAATTTCAATTAAAAAAAATCCTTGCTTCATTAAAAAATTTTTTTCTTTCAAGTAACAAAATCCAAAAATTAAATAGGCTTCACACTGCATATACTTCAGTAAGCTATACATGATTATAAATTATAACAATATCAGGAAACATAGAAGAGTTATCTATCATTATGTTAAACTGAACCTTTTCAAATAATTCTTTAACATGCACAGAATTTATTATCTCTGCTCTAAAATAAATACCATGCATTGTTAATATTATGTAGAAAAAGCATACAGCCCATATCCAGCTTGCAAGGCAAGTGCAGTAATTCTTGGTTGGGGTTCTCCTTCTACTCCTGTTGTTAGGCACACTAGGCTAGCATGAAATCCAGCAGCCATCCTTACTGGTCCCGTACGTACTTTTAGAGGAAAGTAATTCTCAGTTTGAGAGGGCTGGAAAATATTCCATTTATATTAATAAAACTCAAATAGCATTGAAAAAGCTGACACACCTAAATTATTTTAACACACTGCAAATTATTTTTAAGATTTCAAAATGTATTTAATGTACTTATAAAGGTAAAATTGCATAAAAAATTAGTATTATTTATTTTGTTAGTAGACTTACTTTTATAACAGCTAAGAGACATAAAAGCAATCATAAAAAGACTGAAGTCGCTTAATAGTCAAACAAAAATTAAATTTCATATATTAATGCATACTTGCCAACCTATGACACTCAAAAATCAGGAGATTTTTTTAAGAAATCAGGAGATTTTTCACAATGTTAAAAAGACTTTTTAAATGATAAAAATATAGTTTTTAATAATGAATTAACTTTAAATAGTTACTAAGTCATAAATGCAAGCAAAACAAAAATACCTTAGACATAAAAAACATTTTTATTACTTTCATAAAAAAAAAAAAAAAAAAAAAAAGGCACTTTAATCAGTTTTCATACAAATGTTATGGACAGTGGCAGATTTTGCTCTCGTTAAGAGAGAAACTTCATAATTTTGTTCATAGCAATTGCCACGTAGGCCTGCTTTCACTAATAAAAGTTTTTCTAATGTGTCATCACTAATATTAGATCTAAATTTAGTCCTCGTTTTCGCAACAACACTGAAAATCCTCTCACACTCTGCATTACTATGGGGAACTGTCAAGATGGCCAACATAATTCTAGAGAGTTCACTATATTTTAAAATTCCATCAGCACCTTTCAATTTTCCAATTAACCTCCACTGGGTGTCAATCCTAGCTGATTTTATAACTTCATCCAAGTTTTCTAATTGTAAACTGCAAAATTACTACTGCAATTTTTCAGTTATAACATCATCTTTCATGACTAAATGAAGTAAGACTGGAAATATATTCGAGAAATATCTTATATCAGAAAAAGATGCATTTACTAGAGCAGAAACATCTGTAACGTTAGCATGCAAAATCATTTAATCGTTGATTGGAAATTTATGAAGTATGCAATCACATACTCGGCAGAAGTAACTTCTAAAATGGATATAAAACTTATTTTTGTCTTAATCAGAAAGGTCTTCCACTACTTTTTTAGTTGCAGCTCCTGTTACCAAATCTTCATCTGACTTTCTATTTGACCATAAATTACATCATATATAGAATTAGAAAACAAAACAAAGATTGGTTTTACAAACTTTGATAAAATGTCTTTAAACAGATCATAAATCATCGATTGCAAAACATGAATTAATGGAATTCTGCTTTGTAGAATTGTGTTCAGAACATCGAATGATGGCAAAATGAATTGTAAAAAAAAAAAGCAAAAAGCTTTGTTAAGGTCCGAAGAAAAAAACATAAATATTTGTTCTTCACAAGATAAACTTACAGTAATCGGAAAATGTTTCGTGTGTTGAGCAATTTTTTCTTTTATTTTGAGAGAAATTTGTATCAGCTTTAAGCTTATATTTTGCAGTATTATTTTGAGAACTGCCAGTTGAATTTCTGAATGATGCAGAAATTACAAAAAATCAAAATTTTTCTCATTTCAGTATTATGCAGCTGTTGGAACTGTTTCAATTTTTCCTTTCTTTTAGAACTCCTTTCAAGATAATAATAAATATCAACAATGTGTTCATCCACATTTAATGGTAAAGAAGCTGCCCCCTTTTCAGCTGCTAAATTTAAGAGGTGACAGGTGCACCTCATAATCTGCAAATCTGAATTTGCCTTTCTTAAGATGCCTGCAACACCAGCCTTCAAGCCTACCATTACTGGTGCATTATCGGCACCAAGCGCTAAGCAATTATCCAGGGGGACTGCATTTTATTTTAAAGTTTCAATAATTAGCTGTGCTATATTAAAGCCTGTCGAATGTCCTTCTAAAGTGGGGACAGAAAGTAAACTGCACTCAATTTCTGAAGACTCTGGATTAAAAAAAGAAACAACAATTGGATACAGTTTTGAATTGGTATTATTGCTTCCATCCGTAGAGAGGCAGAACGGAGCTGTTTTAATGCAATCAATAACTGAAGATTTATTTTTCAAACCCATTTCTTTAACAATTGCACCTGTTTTGGTCCTTGCACTTGAGTATTTCTTAGCGATTTCACTATCGGGAAACATTTTTCTAAATAAAGCTGCAGCGTGATCCGATGCATTCAGTGGCAGGTTGTGCTCCAGTAAAAAGGCAGAGAACAGACATTCTGCATTAATCACTTTTTGGTCTTTAGTTTCCGAAGAAAAATTTAATTTTTCGTTTTTTCAAAACAACTCATGTTATCCTTGTGTTTTTGTGTACGCACATGTTTGAGAACATCTGCCCTTCCACCATGCGAAATCGAAAAATCGCAACGACAGATGGTACACCTCGTAAATTTATTACATTTCCTTGAAGAAATAATGGAAGGAAAGTCAACTGTGTACGATTTTTGAAACGTGCACGAGTCTTTCACCTTTCTCGCAGACATATCAAAAGACGATAATTTCTAAAACTATTTCCTAAAGGCACGTGTACTCACACAACTCGGGACAAGATGAACGAAATAGCGAAAGAACATCCAAATAACGGCCCAACGGCCAAAGAATTTTCTTTGCAATGGCCTTGAGCTTGCTTTGTGCTCATTGGCTAATATATGCCAGATGACACGCAGTGGAGCTCGATCCCCATTGGACAACTGGAGAACGAAGTTTCTGGATACGTATGCTATCGATCACAAAGCAGAAATTCTCATCTGATACGCAAGGTTTCATTTTAGATATGATCTAGAGAAAAATCACTTTTTTTTTTGTTCATATAATGAAGTATTAAGCCAAGTTCCATAAAAATCGTGAGAAATATTAAGAATAAGAAAAAGTCGGGAGAAATATATTGTAAATCGGGTTGGCGGGAGAGCGGTCGAAAATCGGGAGTCTCCCGCCTAAATCGGGAGAGTTGGCAACTCTGTTAATGCTATTAGAGCTTATGTTCTAATTTTCCAATAGGAGTTACAACACTGAAACAACAGCATGTTAAAATATATGACGTAAGTTAAAAATAAAGTTTTTTTTGGGCCCCACCCTTTTTATAATCATTGCCACATCCAAAAGTTAATTTCAAACAAGTAAAGAGATTAAAAATATGATCTGGAAATACTTTATTTATTAAATTCACTGTGATAAGACACAAATGCAATAGATATTTGAAAACTGTTCATCAAAATTATTTAGTCATCAAACATAAACCATGTTCGCACATGTTCTTTACCCAGTTTTATTTTTGCAACTATTGGTTCTAGGTATATACTTCCAATTATAAAAATATTTCAAATGATCATTAACCACTCAATGCAAATTGAAAATGGCATCAAATATCGCATATTTTAAAATTAAATATCTTGATCGAATACGGCAGCAAAACTTTTTCTGTTTTATTTTTATAAAACGCACAAAATTTTCTGGAAGAAATGAGTAAAACATTACTTTTTTTTCTATACAAAACTAATTCTTTTTTAAAATATGAATCTTTGCATCATTTAAAGCATTTTTGTAACTAGAAGTATATGTCTACAACCAACAATTGCAAAATAAAGGTAGGGTAAGAACTTTTGTGAACACAGTATATACAAAATTAGATAAATATTTATTTGGTTTCTGTTTTTATGACGGCTATTCAGAAATCAATCTTTGATATGTAACAAACAAAGAGTAATAAAAAAAAACTATATTTATTATGCACAAAAGAAGAGAGATGAGGAAAGTGATTACACATCTACCATCAAAACTGCTGACAGAAAATTTGTCCGTATTTAGCTGTAAATGTGCAGACAAGGTCGACTAGCAACTTCTCAGGTTAACATGCCTTGTTTTTTTTCTGAGTTGGCTAAGTATTTCATAGTACTTTTTAGTATTAACCCTCTTGCTGCGTAATTGTTTAATCAAAATAGGTTAAAAAATTGCAGAATTTTTATTACATATTTCAAATCTACATATATTTAAGAGTTAAAATATACAAAAATTTTTTGTAAAAGAGTTTTTTGTCACTGTAGAATTAGATCATAAATAAAGGTTGTCGGAAAATTGAAATTTAAGAATAATCAGAATAATCATATAAAAGCAAAATTTTCAAAATTACCTTGGTTAAATTATGATTTATTTCATGAAATATAAAGGTAAAATGTATATACTAATGAAAATATGCAAAATATTTACAAAACATATATTAGAAATGAAGTTTAGCATGATAAATTTCGAAACAAGGCTCGAGGCAAAAATCCTACCTTGCAACTTATGCACCAAGTTCACATTTCTTTATGAATTTTTTTTTGCCTGTTTCAGGTTTTTTTTTTTTTTTTTTTTTTTTTTTTTTTTTTTTTTTTTTTTAAGCAACAAACAGCATATTGTCTATGAGGCTCTTTCTTGATAGGATTGGGGGGGGAGGGTTATATGGCAGGTAAAATGTCGAGCAGTTAGTCTCATGGGGCTGAGAGTTTAACTACAAATATGTTTGAGGTTTGAAAAGAGCACACAAAATGGTGCAAAACATGCTTTTATATTTCGCGGAAATGAGGATAACTAATGCCATCTGTTATCTCAAATCTGAGTAAACAATTAAGAATCACAGAAAAGCTGAAGTAATGCCATGAATGGGAAAAGAGTACGCTGCAGAGTTAAATAGATGAAAAAAATGCAAACCCATAAAAATCACGGGTTGGGCAAATTTTGCTACTTCTATGTTGTCCATGGAAATCACAGGATATGCAGTGAGAGGAATAACTGCCCTACCAGGCTCAATAAAGACTGTCAGAGCTTTTAGTTGGGCAATACTGGTTCCAGGTTTCTAGGTTTATCTGGTGAGTTAATGTGTATCATGCTATTCAATTACTACAGTTTTTGATTTTCCCCTTTCTCTGCACATTGCACAAGTGAATTCCCCATTTTATTACCTCTTATGATCTTGCTCAGAAAAGTATAACCATCTGTGTTGTCAGAGTGCAATGCAGCAACACAAGATCAAATCGCAAAATGCATTTCCTGCATTTTGTTATTATGCTGTGTGAAAAATCTTGGTATTCATTGCCGTTATATATGTTGCCGGCAATGTATAAAATACCTGTATTTTATAGAATGCCTGGCATTTTTAAGCAAAGTTCAAAATATGAGAATAATTATATACTTTACCTAGGCACTGTATATAATACCTAAACATTCTATAGCACAACAAATGCTCTTTAGGCAAAGCATTCAAAAGGTCATGTTTAAAAATTCAAATGTTATTTTGAAAAAACAATGAAAGACTGCAATTAAAAAACTTATTCAAAATATGTAAAAAAAAAAAAAAAACTAGTGAAATGATCTTGGTACACCATAATAAATTTGCATTCTCTACCTGGGTGAGATAGTTAAATTCAGAAAAAAACATTTTCACAGCAATGCCCTTTTAAATATTTTTTGTTTTTTCTGGCACAGATCACAAGGATCGATGGACAGTTCAATATCATTACACATAACGTTTTCATATTTAGTTTAAAGTTCTTTTAACATTCTTTTAAGACTTTCATGCCCAATAGCCACATGAGTTTCACAAAGTACGTGAAATAACTGAGGGTCCGTGCTGTAATACTTTATAGCACCGATGCCTTCTTTAATAGGACAAATGAGTTTACTTTTGATTTCTGCAAACATCACATCATAGCAATTCAGAAACTAACAGTCCAGTGATTTCTTCTTAGTAGTGATTTTGGCATTTGTATATAATTTATCAACTTCCAGTAAATAGTTTTGGTTAGAGTTGAATGGGAGATATGTTTCAAACTTTGCTGGTTTACCATATAATGCCTAGGCAGTGTGCAAAATGCTTAATCCTTTCATACACTGCCAGACAGTTTTTGATATTATATAAAATGCCTACGTATTCTATAGAATACTGGATTTCATACTTGCCAGTAACATATACACATTTGTTTGGTGTCACATAAAAACTTTGATAACTAAGTTTCAAAATTAATATCTTATGAAGCACTGTTTGCTGCAGTTCAGGAAATTCACAAAGCAGTTCTGATATTGTGAAGTAAATCACTCATGAATCACATCCTCCACTTCTTTAATAAAGTCATTTACATCAAATGTAAGTGTTCCTGCTTCATGTGTTAATCATTTTGACCACCACGAAATGTCTAGTACCATTTCTTATACAATGCTCATTCATGAACTTATCTTTGTATATTTGAATCATTAAGTGATGAATTTAGGATGCATTCTGTAACTTAGCCTGCACAAAAATGAACTGAACAGTAAAACTCACATTTGGTGGGAGGTTTTTCTACATTAGCCATTGTTCTTCAATCACTACATACCAACCACTGAATACAGAAATTCATCATTATAGGTTACCAACCACTGAATACAGAAATTCACCATAATAAGTGACAACTTATTTCAGTGGATATAGGCTGGTATTGCAGGAAGCAATATGTTCACAGCAGCCAACTAGAAATTGATTTCTGAATATCTTGCATACTAAAAACATTTTGGATACAACACAGAAAAATATTTTCTTTCATTAATACAGAACATAAGGTCACTTATGCCCAATTTTGAATGCACAGCCATAATATGCACACAACATTCTAAACTTCATATTATACATAAGTAAGCTGAATATGGTATTGATAAATATTTTCATGACATCTCTATCATTATGCATTCTGAGAGCTATAACAAGAAAACTGTCTATTTTCATAAGAAATATACTGTACTTGTTTTCCACTATCATCAGAATTTGATCTCCCTGATGTCTGGAAAGAAAATGACCGATTTGATTGGTCATTATTTTCTTCTACAGCTCCAGGATTATTCTCTATCCTCTCTTCACATTTTATAGATATTTCTAAAACCTGTAATATAGAACAATACAGTTTTGTCAGAATACTCATTTTATTAGCCTGCTTTTACATTGTGAAAGCAATAATAAATGCTCCTAATTTTTCTTCTAGTTCAAAGATTTATTTTAAACAGTTATACATAATACAAGATGGATATAATTTGACTTAAAACTCCAATTTTTCATAACAAATACAATCTTTGTTAGCCATGTGCACTGCATCAGTTAATTGCATGATACGCCATATAACATTTTACCAAAATAAGAGACGCAAGTCTTCTGGTACTCTGATACAATATTATGGGATCCTGTATTATGGTTTTTAATCTCCACTGACTTGTTTAATTTCCGACTGTTTCATTAGTTTTTAACCACAGAATAACATGTTATACCTAGCCTTATTATTAATAAAACTTCATTAATTATTAAAAAATCAGAAATCTTTTAATGTTCAATGTATTTTAACACATGTTAATTACCTCTTGAAGATACAGAAACATAATCAGCTACACGGTTATAGCTGTATCAAATTTTCATGACAATATGGCTCAAAATTTGCTGGCAGTTTGTTAACTGGTTAATAACAAGTTTTGGGGAATCACTGAATTAAATTTTCATACAGTAAAATTATTTGCATAGCAGATATATTAAAATTTTCCATATACAGTGAAACCTTGTTACAACAATATTTTAGGGACCAAATAAATATATTGTTGTAGAGAGGCATATTGTTATATGGAGGGCCCACATATTTTGAGCATTTAATAAGAGTTTTTTTTTTTTATTATTATTAGTTTAAGGTGCATAACATACTACTTTTAAATCTATATTTAGAAGAAATTAATTTGTAAAATACTAATAATAGTGGTTTAAATACTAAAAAAATAAATAAATAAGATAAATTCAGAAAATAAGCACAGAAATATTCACATACCTGAAAACACTTTTTATTGAAAATAATCCAATATTTTTGTTTGTTTATTGATTTTTTTAACAGTTAAGTTCACCAATACTGTATGCATTGAGTCTAGTGCACGAAAATGTTCTTCATTTGTCGACGGAAGGCTTGAAAAAAATGTCCGTAGAGAATTCACAGATTGAAGAGCTTCCTGGGATGACAATAAGGACTGCGATGGACCTGTATTATCATCACCATCAATATCATCATCATCTTCATCATTGTTTCCTATCTCATCAGTAATTTCAGAGAGAATATCTTCATCAGTAACTCCTGCGAAAACCATAAGATCATCATCTGCTGTTAAATAGTCTTCTATACTAATTCCAAACTTTTTACCGCTTGTTTCGTCAAGTTACGATACGGATTTTTTGATGTGCAAAACACATTCTTTATCATCTGAGCGATCATTGTATATGGAATTTTTATCATTATCAGATTTCTTATCTTCCATAACACAAAGACCGGCTTTTTTCCAGCAATTCCGAATGGTTTTTTCTGTTACTTCCCACCAACTTCCAGCAATATTGTCACACGCTTCCTTGACATTTACAGCTTTGAAAGGGTCTTCTACTTTATTTTCAAAGTTTAAAAGTATGGAGTCCACCAACCGTTTTCTGTAATATCCTTTGAAGCACTTAATTATGCCCATATCAAGAGGCTGTAAAATTGAAGTGCAATTGGCAGGGAAAAAAGCGATTTCGATATTTTGTAGCTTTGGAAATGACGTGTGAGCACCGCATTTATCTATCAACAAAACGATTTTTTTCTTTGTCTTCTTCATTTCATTGTCTAACTTCTGTAACCATTCGGAAAAAAATTTAGACGTCATCCAAGCCTTCTTATTTGCTTTATACTCCACGGGAAGACTTTTCACGTTCTTAAAGTACCTTGGCTTCAATGATTTACCAATGACGAGAGGTTGTATTCTATGCGTTCCTGTGCTATTTGTACACAGAAGAACAGTCAGTCTCTGCTTGATTTCTTCCCTCCATAACACTTTTCACCCCCTTGAATGCCAATGTTCGATCGGGTAGGAGTTGGAAAAACAGCCCAGCTTCATCTGCATTATAAATGTCTTCTGGAGCATACTTTTCTAAGATTTCTTTCATCTTGTTTGCCACCATTCATTTGCGTCGTTTATCGGGGCTGACTTTTTCTCTCCGTGAACTTCTTGGAAAGTTATTCCATGACGATCTCGAAAACGCATTAAACCAACCATTGCTAGCTTTGAAAGTTTCGTTCCCTAGCACTGCTGCAAATTTTCCGTGCTTTTGCACATAATAAAGGTCCATTCATTGGGACATTTGTTGCTCTCATCATCTTGAAAACCATTTTAAAACAGCAGCATCAATGTTTTCATTTGTCGCAACTTTCAGTCGTTTTCGCTCTGGGTTAATTTCATTTGAAGTTACAGCATCTTCGATTTGCTTTCTCTTCTTTAGGAAAGTTGCAACTGTAGATTGCGATAATCCATGTTTCTTAGTCGCATCAATCTGCTTCATTCCCTCATCAATATCATTGATAATGTTCAGTTTATCTCGAAAAGATAGTTGCTTTCGCCCTGCCATCTTAGGGAACAATATCGCGTGAAAGAAAGAAAAGTTTAAACCAAATGTTTTGCGTAGAACTCAAAATCGTTAAAGACTATAGAACAACCTTTGAACTCACTTTTCAGTACGTCACTTAACAACACCCCGCCTCCATCTCCCCCTGTTCCTCTAACAAAGGGCACTTGTTCTGTGACAAGGTGACCAGACAGGTCTAGATGTCCTTAAACCTTATCAGAATTCCAAAGCTTACTGGGAAATGAGACCATACATTTACACTTCACCCCGCTCACCCACTCCAATTCTCAAAAGGGTGGTCTTCATCTGTTTTGAAATCTGAACAATAGCTATTTACTCAGGGATAAGTTGAATATCCACAATGAGTCTTAATAGACGAAAAAAATAACAAAAGAAAACGGAAAAAAAAAAAAAAAAAAAAAAAAAAAAAAGCATTTGAAAATCAAAATATTATTATAAAGGGAGAAAATAATACTGAAATTTAGATTGAAAAAATTGTTTTACAGAGGTTTATTGTTCTAGAGAATATAGCAATATTGAGGGAAGATTAACATTAGTTTATATGCAAAATCACCAGAACCACAAAACATTATTGTAGTAGAGGGAGTTATTGTTGTATCGGGTATCGTTGTAGCGAGAGTTTACTGTATTGTAAATAAAATAAAAATTAAGGCTTTATGTGAACTAAAATGTGCTTTAGCATTCAAGTATTATTCTGTAAATCCATAAACATTGCCAATTTAGTACTTGTATTTGATATATTTAAATGTTAAAGAATTACAAATGCTTTTACAAAATGACATTTCATCTGAATAATTTGGAGAATTTGCCATTTTTCATAACTTAAGTTAACAATTCCTGCATTGATTATTACTGTATCAAATTTATAAATATGAAAGAAATTTTTCATATTGACTTTGATAGCTAAATAGTAAAGAGCTATTATAACTTTTCCTCAAATCACCTGACTGTACATGGATATTGCATATTATTATTATTAAACTATAAAAACACCCCAAAAAAATCATTCTTAAATCAGCTAAATCAACAAAATTTTCACTTTGAAGTTTTGTATCTGCTAAACACAAAATTTTGGGTACTTCCTTAGCACTCACTTTCTTGGCACAAGCTGCCACATATCCAGTTATTGGGAAGAACCCTACAGGTATTATATTTTTGTCAGAGGAAGAAACTTCTACTTCCACAGCCACTTATATGCTAATTTGGTTGTTGAATTAAATATACAGAACATATCTATCTCATAAAAAAAGTTTCAGTCAATAATTGTATGGAACTTAATCGTGTATTTTGTTACAGACCTTTTTTTTTTACGAATTTTATCATTCAAAAATCAAAAAGGGAAAACTATGTTAACAATTTGATTTCTAAAGAATACAATTAAGAACATAACAAATGAAAATTAGTCATGGGAAAACTACAAGTAACTATCATAACATTCTTTCTTTAAAAGAAACTTGCATTCCAATAAGAAGGCACAGTAATATTAACATTACAGTATCTATTGGGGTATTATTATGGTATCTTCATTTATACTTTTCTGTAACTTAAATCTTATGCATTCTTATTGTTGTCTCTACTACTTTTTAAGCTTCAAATCATCCTTAAATAACTAGAGAAGGTGAATTTGCAGCTGACTCAGTAAAATTGCAGAAAGTGCGTGTGTTATTCTGGCAAAGCCTCGAGGGCTATCTGCCTAAAGGGAGGGATGCCTTCGTGGAGGACTTTCTAAGGGGAACTGCTCATATACACATTACAAATGGGGGAAACCATGAAAACGCCCATGCAGCCAGCCCATTCGCGGGATTCGAAACTCAAACCGAACTACCAGTGTTCAGCGACTTTACCGCTCGGCCGCTGGTGGGCTCAAAATTGCAGAATGAGTGCCAGTTCATGTTTGCTTTACTGTGATGGATTAGTTCTCAGACTAGCATAAAGTTGGACAGTTAAAAGAAAAATGTTTGGCATAATGTTCACAGGTAGTCTGCGAAGATTTGTCGTTATAGAAAGAAGATAACAATCACTATGTGGATGAATCAATAAAATTTAAGAGAGCTCATTTTCTAAATGCAATGATGAAGAAAAATTATGCAAATATTTAAAAAATTTTAGAACAGCAGACAAAAAAATTGCAACTAATTGTTTTGGGGCTAAAAAACTAAATATGGGGGAAACATAGTATTTTGACATATCTTGAGTTGCTTCTCACATGAGTTAATTGACATCAGTTTCTCTGCCAAATAGTAAATAAATCACAGCATTGCTACAAACAATATTCTAACTGAGCCACTAAATCAACTGTCAAAATGCATGTTTTTCTTTTACTTGCAAATTTTCATGTTGCACTTCAGAAATTTTTACTGATATTTAGTTTCACTACATAGCCATCTTTGCCTATTTGAATACGAGGTAAAATAACTTTTTTTTTTTTAATGATACAGCATGACATTGGTCAATTCAAAATTGTCAACATATTTTAGAAACAAGAATGTTAATATGGGGCCTACTTGTAATGAATAAACACATTAAGTGATTATTATTAGTGCAGATTTACTATTCTTGCCAACATTTAAAAAACCAGAGGCCATAAAAATATGGATGCACTAAATTTTGCTATCACTTCTGTATAATGTTCATCTCTGAATAGAACCAGCATTTCTGAGAACATAATTAAATAATAAAACTGGACAACATGTCCAGTTTTGTTTTATTAAGCGCTCAGAAATGCCATCAACATTTTGTCATCAACAATTATGTCTCTATTAATCATCAGCTGCATTGAAGGCCAAATTTATATGGAAACTATGCTTGGCTCTATTACACAGGTTTTAGTGTATTAATATATTTATTAATTATATGTTAATGTAAATTGAACTGCCTATTTATTTATGAATATCTTACAAATTCATTTGATTATGAAATTTCTTAATTATTGCATTCTTAATTTGTCTATAATAGCTACAATTCTTACAATATACATTTTCAAGAAATACAAGTCTTACATTGAGATTCACTGATGCATCATTTTTCTTGAAATTATATACTATAACATGGCCACTTGCTCCAGCCACGGCCAACAACCGTGTATCACGACAAAATGCCACACTGTCAATGGCAAAAGGATCTTCCTCAAGCTCATCTATGCTTCTTGGCTTAGGTCTCTCAAATACCTTGGTAGTTTTTAATTTGTACAAGATTTGAAAAGAAACTAAAGAAAGAACTTTGGATTAGAAAACAATAACTATACATACATATCCAAAGCATATATACAAAACTTAATAAAAATAATCAAAATTGGAAATAAACTACTGTTTTGTCAGTTTATTTCTAGATTGTTTCAGATGGAAGTTTCATTCTTAGATTTGACATAAGTTAAGGTGATTTCAAATACAGAAATAAAGTTTTTTAAAGAATAATAATAATAAAAGCAACAAAATTCTATGAATATCCATACATTTTGTTTTCAGATACAGAACAGTAGTAATGTTAACCATTGACATAATCTTTAAAATACTGATTTAAATTTCCTTTAATAAACTGTAAAACTGTCTTATTAACTGAAAAAATCTGCTGTGTGCATCACATGACTTCCTTGTATGGAATATTACATTATACAAATTTTTTTCTGCATTTCATTTAAACTTATTGGATTGAATTAAATCTACTTCGTCGATAGCACTTAAACCACAATAGAATAAATGCACTCTTTTAAATTCATTGTATTTGTTTACCATAGCGACACTCTGGCACTAGGTTCCCTTAACAGAATTACATTTCATTCATTTCATAACTAATCCTAATCTTAACACTCTCTGGTATATGGTACACAATCACATTAGGATTTTAACCAGTTTGTTTTGCATATGCCTTAGGCCAATGTGTATGTAAATAAGTCAAGGTACGAATGCAACCACCAGAAAGAAAACGAAGATACTGTGGCCATGGAAAAGGAGTCAAAGTTTCATGAAAACAATTAAGTTGCATGAGGAGAATGAGTGTGCATATCATACTAGTACGTTTCATAACTAAGAATGCGCAAAATTTACATAATCTGAAGAATTATCTAATTGTTGGTACATCTTCTCTTCAAATACTATAACAAATCTAAAACAATGTATAAAAGAAATTAAATAAACAAAAAAAAAAAAAAAAAAAAAAAAAAAGTTTTTTACAGACGATTCTGTATTTCTTATTCAATTAATTCAGTTTTCACTTCACAACAAGGCAAAAATACATAAAAACTCAAAATATCTATATTAAAATTATGAAGTAAATCTTAAACACTTATTTCCTTGGAAAAATTCCAGAATGGATTAAGCATGATTTAATTTGCAATAATAAAAGAAGACGTTATAAAGAAGACATAATAAAAGAAGACGTAATAAAAGAAGACGTAAGCTTTGCTATTGCAAAGCTTAGTTTCTCTAGATTGGCAACAAATCCACTACTCTGCCAGGTTTCAAATGTAAACAAATATGGCCACTATGGTAAAAATAATTAGGCTTAGCTGCCCTTAAACAACTTTTAAATTGTTGATAATTCTACAAATATTGCATGCTCATTTACTAAAGGCATAAAAACCTTAGGCGGAAGATAAGAACAACATAATTCAATCACTTTTAATGCAAAAAATGCACAATTTACAAACATATAAGAATAAAGAAACTGAGATCACTGAGCCAGATAACAGAATGGATATGTATATATATATGTTTTTCATAAATTTTTCTCATCAAACAAGAGCTTCAATGGTCTGTTTCGGTGAAACGTGTAATGGTATTTGGCCTAGTTCGACATTCAATCATTTTTCCCTTGTAAAGCCTGGTTGAGGGTTCGAGTGGGTTAATTTACCATTTTCCGCTTTGTAATTATTGTATTTTTGTAATTTTGCAATTTATGTTTTCATTTTAATTTTTGCATTTTATGTTTTAATTATTTTTAATTTTATTTTGTTTTAACTTGTTCCGTCGATCTATTTTGATGTGCATTAACTTTTCACATATCACAACGGTTAGATTAGTATTTTCGTGCATTCACATGTCTTCCAACATTGTTTTTTTCATGTGTAAGCAGTTTTTTTCCAGTTTTTTCCAGATTAATAATTTTTTAAAAAATTTCTTCTTTGTTAATATTTTAGTATTACTGCATTAAACTATTTCGTGGAGCTACAGCTCCTGGTAACTTTTTAGCAAGCTCGCTGCAATGTTTCTACCTATTATATATATATATATATATATATATATATGAAATGTAATTTCTCATACATTATTTGTTTTGTGCAGCCGGGGCAACAGGAATGAGACAAATTTTGGAATATAAAGTGGTAGGTTTATTTTAGCATCCATCTCATAAGCGTTTTTTTCGTACCTTGAGCAGAAGCCCTATTTATACATATGTCTGCGTCACGAGGCTCATCCAATCAGCGATATTAATTGAAATCACGAGGTGACGCTATCTTCTCATCAGGAGTGTTCTTAAGAACTTTATGTAATATGACAGATTTATGAGTTTGGCGATTTGGCGGGCACCAACAGGTTAATATATTTTATACTAAAGAAAGGATTTCGCCAAAATTAGGAACAGGGATGCAATTTAGGTAGAGAATCGCCAACACATTATTAAGCAATATTATTAGAATTTAATTTAATCAATTGATTTAAAAATATCATTACATATATATATATATTTACCTTTGGTTCAGCCAATTGCAACCAAAATATGAAGTGCACATCTACATGTTATAGCAGTCCTATATACAAAATTTCAACGTTCTGAGGCTACTTGTTTTTGAGTTATGCGAGATACATACCTACATACGTACACACACACGCCACGAAAAATTGTTTTTAGAATTCATTTTAAATCAATTTTATAATTTTTTTGGGGGGAGAAAGAGTCCTTTACTCTGTCCTTATGTACAGATATCATGCAAAAGCATCGTGAAATTGCATTCAATAGTGGTCAAAATGAATATTTTTATTGAAATACGATACCTAAAATTTTTCGCGATTACAATACTTCCTTTTATCTTTGTACAAGGAAGTAAAAAAGAGCAAATTTAATTAATTCTTTTGGAAAATACATTAAATAAGGTTTTTTATTCCCACTTTGAAAAGTTTAGGATCATGCTCGCTTTAAGCTGAAGAACATAGAAAAAGTCAAGTAATGATGTAAGATTTTGAAGAATTAAACCCCTCCCTCCCTCAATCCCTAAAAAATTATAACTATCAAACCTATTCGGGTACAGTTAATCGAATGTTATTGATTTTCATTTTTCATATGCACACCTCTGTTGTGTACTATTTCATAACGCATAATGAATTTAATATGGTTGTGGTACTAGTTCATAATGAATTGAATATTTGTGTATTAATTCATAATGAATTTAATATTTGTGTATGAATTCTTAATGAATTTAATATATCATCATTTAAGCACAGTTTTCTCTTGAATGTGTTACAGTTCTTGGAGGGCTGGTAGAGAGGAATTTTTCTCATGTTGCTACTCTTTTTGGGTTGAAAAGTTGGTATGAACAGCTATAGATCCTCTACTAAACTTTCAACATTGAACACATGTTTAATTCGAGGGGAAGATGCATGAAATTTCAGCTTCAACTTAAGTGTTAACTTACTTTACACCAGCACTTTACAAGCAAGATTTCCTCAGTGTTCCAGTTTTATGCCTTGTGATCTGACTAAGGTTCTCAGTGGGTCATAAGATTTGGAAATAAGATTCTTATGCTCTGCTTTCTGAATAAGAAATGAAAAGGGTCTTGCAGCCAGCACAGAAGCATACAATTGGGAGGGATATGTGGAAGATCATGAATTCACAGTGCCTCCTCTGAGTGTACATCCTTCTACATCAATTGGATCAATGGTGGAAGTTCTTGTGTTCCAAAATTCATAATAAGTTGGATGTCATTGTATGCAGAAATAGAGGCAAATTCAATGACAGTTGAACTACATTATATGGAAGAATTTCTGAACTTCTTTTAATTGGTTTTCAGCTCTTAATAGGGAGATGAAAACTGAACTGGAATTCTTTCCCCCACCCTAGGCGGATTTTTCATATATTTTAATTATCACTATGCATTCATAAACTTGATTTCACTTAAATGTTTTAAGAATTTGTGAAGAAGAAAATTATGTTAACCGAGTTGCTGTACATTAACTTAAAATTAATGATTTGTAATATTTATGTATGTAATGAGGGTTAAGTGATTATTGTGAAGTTTCTTTTAGTGGAAAACTACAGTTTGCTTATTATTTTAAATGCGAATTATTTTTATAGAAAGAAAAATGTTGTAGGGACCCAGATCCAGTCCCAGCTATCTTAGCTTTGTTAACCAATGATTATTAAATGTGTTTTAATCGCAATTTTCTTTATGTTTATTTTAATAGTGTTCTATCATGTCCCCATGTGATCCTTAGGGAAAACATGAATCTTCGAAAAATAACCTGGATAATTTATTGTGGTTTAGTTGCAGAATGAATTTATTATGCATATCTGAAATTATGATTCAATTTATTATTTTATTTGAACAAGTGATTGAATCCTTACTTGTTTGGATTATCCTTCCCTGGTATCTAGAGGAGATTTGTGTTGGTTTTGAAATGAAATGAGCTTTGAATTAACATAATTTGCTTTGCATAGTTCATGAATTTATACAATTTAATTTAACAGCAATCACCAGTTTCTAGATTTCTGTAAATCTATTTTTAAATATTTATTTTGACACCAGTTATTCATGTATTTAACAGAAAAGTTCAAATGATTATATTCAAAAGTTGTTTAAAGTTATTCTAGACTATTGTTTAAAGTTTTTTTCTATGTAACAACTCTTATGAATTTCTTTCAACACTGATTTTCCCTGAACAGATATATTATTCTTTACTGCAGATCCTCAACCATATATTAATAATATAAAGTAAATAAATATTACACAAAAGTGTTTAAAAATGGCTAAAAGTCTTCATTTTCTCAGATACTTCTAAACAGAGAGTTTCTAAAAATAAGATAGAGCATTTTATATGCAGAGGTTTAGTACTGTAGTAAAGAAGGTTCTACAGACATAAAACCAAATTTCTCATGTACATGAGGTGTTGCAGCAAAAATTCCAATCAGTAAAAGTAATCCTGCTTTAATAAGTTAAACAGTTAAACCTTTTGCAGAGATATGGGCAATTAATACTTTTGGGCTGAGGTAAAAATTTAACGCAAACTGCTACTTTTTCCACTAAGCACTAACTAACTGTCAAAGATAAACTATTATTTTGTAGTTTTTCTTCTTAAATGAAGTCAAGAAATTTAAAATTTTTGCACAATGATAGGCATAAAAAAGTAACTTTAGTGAATTTGTCCTTTAATTTTATGTGCAAAGATCATATTTAAATGTCAAAGTATGGTGACAGATTATCAATCAAGATGTTCGAAATAATAGGCTCATACAAAAAGTGAAACTGTTTATTTTTAGAAACCATTCAACTACAGTGTTGATTACTGTTTAAAAAAATAAACATTTTGTATGAGAAAGTTGAAAAACAATTTCTCCATTAAAATGATTAACATGATAAAAATTATTAAATACCATGAAACAAATTTAAAAACTTTACCTGATGAAGCATCCCAGAACTGGAGAGATCCATCTGCATGTCTAGAATTAAGTTGAAAAAGTTCAAACACTTGTTTAAAAAGTATGATTTTATTTATAAGGTAAAATGATGTTTTTGTATTAATCAGTACCTTTGATATATTGCCAAAAATAGTCCCACTGACTTTGATTCTGCCACTTGGCAAATCTAGGAAGTGTTTTGGATTCGTCTAGAAAGTTACAATTTCTTAATTGTATATTCTGGCGTATAACATGCACTTTTAATAAAAAGAAATAAGATCGAAATTTATGGGTGCACGTTATACACCGGATATAAAAATAGATACATTTAAAAATTAGGAAAAGAAGAGCATATAGAAATCATATTTCTATGTAGATCTAATGTAAATCTATTTAAAAGAAATGACACACTTTATGAACTTAAAAATTTTCATTATCAGATAATTTCCTTTACTTAAAGCGTATCAAATATTGTGTTTTCATTCAGTCAGAGAAAACATCCGACTCCTAATCCTTCACTTGCATTGGAAGCATCCTTACTCTAAGTTATATTCCCCCTTTCTTGAAAACCTAGAATAAAATACTTATGCACAGCTGCACTGAATACAAACCCATCCTCTTTATAGAATTATTTATTCCCTAAAGCATTTCCTGCACAAACATATTATTTTTTTTACCTCTTGTCAATTCAGTACACCATTGTTCGAAATTCTAGAAAAAATATTTGAATGAATGACTTCAAAGAAATAAGAGCATAGCATATGTATCTTTAAGGTTTCTTCTTAAAGGAAAGGATGGACGTTATATGGTGAATATACCTAAAAATTAGCTGCCCAACCGGTATAGTGGTTAGCGTCACTGACTGCCAAGCCAAACAGCCTAGGTGTGAATTTCGGAGAAGGCATGGATGTTTGTAAATGTATATTGTCCATGCGGCAAAGCGGGCACTCTACATGAGATGAGCCAAAAGTCCTCTTGAGAGGTTGATGGTAGGAAAAGAGGAGTGGGAGGCCCTCAGACCCATCCACCAGGGGTGCTCTCCATCAAAATTGGGGGTGGAACTAAGCTAAATTGCACTGTCACCTGTAAGGTGCTCAAGGCTGTTGCCAGTAACAAGTATAAACTTATGCTTCTTGCCACGAGGATTTTCGTGGGCTTCAACCGACTAAAAATAAGACAAGTGAGCATTAGCAACAACAACCTAAAAATTAAAATATGTAGTTTGAAATTATAGCTGTGTGTTATATGCTGGAATATATGTATTTATTTTTCTTTCTTTGTTAATACTGCTTCTCTTTTTGTGGTCTTAGGAAGAAAAAAGATGGCTTCTTTTTTTATTTCAATGCAATTTCAAACCAATTGCAGCAAGTATATTTCTGCACTGCACCTTTTTGGAGGGTACCTTTCGCAGCCAAAAAAATTTTTGGATAGTATTTATTAGCCTCATGTTAATTTTCTCTACAAATTTTGCATCATACATTTATTAGAGCTGCCAAAAAATAAAGAAAAATCTATCCACTGTTTTTAGGCACAGAGTATTTTGAAAAACAAAATTCCAGATATTTAAATTTATTAGCAATGAAACTGCACATGATGGATGAAGAAATACAACGTCAACAACAACTGAAAAGAAATGGGAAATGGCTTGAGAGAAGTCATCTATCTGCCTTCTAATTTTGTAGAATTTATATGAAGGCAAAAGACAATTGCAGAGAATAACAATCTGATGTAATTTTGAATGTGACTGCCAAACAATACTTGCAAAAATCAAGAATTTGTCTCATTGGTCTGCTGATATTCAAAATACATTTCATTACAAATTCACCAACATGGTGTGTAATGATGGTATATCCATAAGTACCGATTAATACATAAGTACCAGCATTTAAAAAATAAAAAAACTCTTACCCAGTTATCACGATTTCAGGATAGCTTAGTGTAGCAGTGCCCCATTCACCGCCATCTATAGGCCAGTCCTATAAACAAAAGAAAAACCACTTTAAGTCATGAAAACTTCAAGCTTTGATTTACAAAATAAAAATACAAATCATCCACTGCATTCTATTCAATTTCGAAAATAATTTTTTGATAATGAAAAAATGTTACAGGCCTCCTCATAGAGTTATTATTCTAGAGTTTTATTCAAAATCTATGTTAAACTAGGTTTTATATTTTTTTGGATGTTTCCAATTTTACACTGGCCTGTTTTTCTTCTTTAACATTAAAATTATTTTATTAATCAAGAATGATTTATATTTCTTCTACAATTGATGATTTTGCTTTTGAAATATTTCTCTTCAAATATGCATAACTCTAAAATTTCATAATCTTACAACATTGCCACATGCATGCCAGATAAATATGGTAATATGATTAATAAATAAATACAGTCTGAAAGCTAAAAAAAAAAAAATCTATTTAAAAAAAAAAAAAAAAAAAAAGTGTAAGAAGAAATTTAAGGGGAAAAAAATAAAACTATGATCAGATTTTTGTATTCAAATTTTAGTTTAACCCTAGAAACAGTTTTAAGGTGAACAGTTATGGAAAGCTTACTAATTTAAGATTTAATTCTTACAATTCAAGACACAGAACATAGGTTTTTAAATGTAAAATTAACTGTTCAAAATACTTGATATTAATGCTGTGAACAGTAAAATCCAATCACACGAAAAAATTGCTACAGTACAAAGTCTGTAATCCGGATATCCATAATTCGGAATGATCTATAATCCAGACACCTCAAAGCTACAAACGTTATGTGCATGTGTAAACGCATAATGTATTTACGCATGCGCATAATCTATTTACGCATGTGCATTTAATGTATAACGGATGCTATAAGCTGGGCCAAAATAATCTAGGGCATTTCCGTTAATGTTGCAGATTGCGCTGTTCCTTAATCTCCTAATTGGATCCGGCTTATTATTTTTTGCAGACTGTTAGAACAATTTTATAAAAATTAAGCTTGAAATTTCGATTATGTCAAAAAGAGTTTCTAATTCTGGAGATGCCAAAGGATCTACAAAGCAAAAGCATGCTTCGATGTCCATTAAACAAAAAGTGGAATTGCTGCAAAAAATGGATAAAGGCCTATCCGTCTCAAAATTATGCGAGAAGTATAGCATTGGAAAGTCCACTATATATGACACAAGAAAAAGGAACTGTTAGTGGAAGCATCTTAAACAACTTACATTGAAAGAAATGTTTAATAAAGTAAACAACTACATATTAAGCTTTTTTTGTAAATTTTGATAACTTTAGATCATAATTGTTCTTTATTTCATAAATTACGATTTCATATTTTTAATTGTATAATTTTTGCATGACATCTTACCAGATTTAAATTGATGATCCATAATCCGGAAAAACCCTATCCGGAATCGCCGAAGTCCCGACGAGTCCGGATTACGGACTTTGTACTGTATAATAATTATTTCGTCATAAATTTCTATCATAAGCAGACTTTCACACTTATTTGAAGAAAAGAATTACTAACAATGATTTTTGTTGTTTGACTTCTGGATTAATGCTTGTTCCACATATTATTGTGTCTTAACAATGTAGCTGTTCATTCCCCTCTTCGTAGGATCACTAGTACGCAAACTTTTTAACAAATATTCCTTGCAAATGACATGGCAACTATTTGCATTTTTTATGGGGATAAAAATTCACATATTGAGAAGAATAACTTCTCTTCGAAATATTTAAAAACATCCTAAAAAAGAACTGAAGCATAAAGTTCACAAATATTGCTATAACAGTAAAAAAAGGTTTTTTTTAAACATTTTTACATTATCAAATGTTGACATGTAAGAACTTTTCTGATTGATGCATATCAAACTGATATTCAGTTTACACTCTAGTAAGCTTCAAAATTTGTTGTGAAATAATTCCAATTACCTGAGTAATTTGTGTCTTAAATTTTGCAATTTTCATCATTATATGTATATTTTGTTCTTGTACATCCCCACATCTGCCCAGATGGTATAGTGGTTAGGGAAGACTGACTGTGATACCAAAGGGCCTGGGTTCGAATCCTGTAGAAGGCATGGATGTAAAATTGTCTGTCTCTTCAAAGGATGGTAGCAATAGCTGCCTATTAGGTTCCTCCTCAATAAAATGGCTACCACTTTTGGCTTTAGTAGTGGCCAATGCCGTTATAGACAAGCGCCCGCCATTAGGGAAAAATATAACATCCCCACAAAAAATGAAGAAGTGTAATGTCTGGAATTAGCATGGAACAGACTGGGTGGCAATAAGACCATACTACCTCATTCAGTATGCATGTCAATAGAAAATTCCCCGTTCAGATATATTGCACACACTAGGCCTAATGAAGAGAGTCCATTTTACTGATACTTGGATACAAACATGAAAATAATTCATATTTTTATAACATTCAATAAGCTTCTTTTGTGATAATAGATTTGGTTAAAAAAAAAGAAAGATCTAATTATGCTAGCAATCATTAAATTCCAGTCATGAATCCACTGACTGTGAAAAAAAAAAAAAAAAAAAAAAGGAACTTTTTAAATTACTTTAGCAATGTCAACATAGTTTGTGCTTGTTACTTCCATTTATGTTTTAAATGCATTATGTACGTTTTTATTAATTTGTGTTTCCACAAAAGAAAATAAGAATTCAGTATAAAACATGATTTAATTAAAAATTTCTGGATATCAACTTTACCCTTTCTACTAACTCAAATTTCCCACTCTAATTGTTTTAAAAATCAAACCAAACTCTACTAATCTAATATTTTCCAATAATTCAAAAGTTTTCAAATTAAGTTTCAAAATCATTAAAATTTACCTAAAATTTCATGAATGCTTTCATTTACATGGTAAGGATTTTAGTATTCTCATCATGAAAAAATGTGTCTGAAATACTTAAAGATATGTGTATGTAAATGCATGTAATAATTTAGATGAATGAAGATCATAGATGTTAATGAAGATTGCTTATTCATAAAATTTTTTATGTGTTCATGGCAGACTGAACACTTTTATTGTTGATAAAACACTTTTGGTAGAAAATAGTTGCAGCAGTATCTTTTACAATTTTAATATCTGAAGAAAGAAAGTGCTAAAACAAAATAGTAACTTAATTTGCAATAATCCCCTAACAATCTTCTTTAACTCATTTATTTATTTTTTCCATCCTAAAATAGTTGGTGCTGGTAAGAAAGAGTTTTAAACTGTGCCATATTAAAATTCCTTCCCACATGGTTTTTATATGATGCTAATGATGCATGCACTTACATAACACTTCGTACTACCATAATATTAAAATCTGCAAACTGAAACTTAAAATTATAAGGTATTTCTCCCACCTTCTTGGCATGCCTTTGTGGTGTGGTGGTTTGCATGCTGGGCATGTATTCTAGAGGTCCGCTATTCGATCCCTGATGAAGGTGTTGCTAATTTTTTAATCTCTCCTGCTTTCAAAAATTACCTAATGTCTCTACAGTGGCATCCGAACTAAAAGGGTGTTGGATGATGATTTTCCTCACCCAGGATTTGGCGATTGGGTTCCCTAAAAAAATAAAAACCCCAGTCGCCCTTTAAAAGGGGAATTTCTCCCATCTTCTTGGCATGCCTTTGTGGTGTGGTGGTCTGCACACTGGGCCGGTACTCCAGAGGTCCGCAGTTAGATTCCCGGTGAAGGCGTTGTTAATTTTTCATCTTTCCTGCTTCCTTAATACCTAATGTCTCTACAGAATAAGCTAAATTTCTTCTATATGTTTAGGTCACCTCTGCAAGTTTATTGTCTGCCGCTTTTCTTGCTTATTTCAAAAATGTGAAAATTCATTAAATGGGCACAATTTGCCCCAATTTATCTGTGTCTGCATTAAAAATAAATAGTTTTATAAAAAGTAAAAAAGTCATGTCAATAATAAAAGGGTTGCTCAACTGTCCATGAAAGCTAGTATCTTGATCTTCAAAATCTAAATTATTTCACATATAATTCATTATAAAGAACTGTGTAAATAAAAGTAATAGGTATAAAACAGCAGTAACAAATTTCTAAGCACCTTATCTGAACAACCACATTGTTTGGTGCCCATGGATCCGACAGAATAGAAGGCTGGTATGAGGTCATTAGGGCAATCTGCAAAGTAGGCACAATAGGTGACAGGTGATTTATGGAAGTCCATAGGATATGGATTTTGGAAGCAAGGAAAACTGCAAAGTAAAATACAAATTCAAAAGTTATTTATTTATTTTAATACAAAACAATTTTTGTTTTCAAAAAGAAGCCAAACAGTACCTTATTATGAAATTATTTTTATATATAAGTTTTCCCAACAAATAACTTTTAGATCTTTCAAAACCACACACTTAACAGAAATATTTAATAAATGAAAACTGTAACTTCAATAAAATACAGTTTCTGAGAGCAAAACAAATATTTTGTCATTTTATATACATGTATTATTTTACATAAAAAAAGATCAGGTTAATTTTTGATGTTAGAGAAATTACATTCATGTAAACTATTTTTAATGGAAGCTAAAATTATACAGTTCACATGAGAAACAGTTATTTCCCTACACAATTTATAAAATTGTAGACTGTCAACCTGATTAGGCTTAGGCCAAGTATTAAAAATTAAGGGTTATTCAGAATATTTTAAATGTATCAATGGAAATAAATATGCAGAAATCTAAATATATATATATATATAAATTTACTAAATGAATAGCATACATATGCAATAAAGATTTTAAAATAATACCTTATAGTATATGATAAGAAAACTTTTAGTTATAAGAGAACTGAATACAGACTAACAAAACGAAAAGATACCAATTACAGAGTAGCTTAAAATACAGATTAGACACTAAATAATATTGTGCAAAAAACTGCATGCATAACTTTTTGTTGCATTTAAAATATCAGGGTCCCTCATAAGTATTTTCAAATGGAGTATACAATAAGATAAGTATGAAAATTTTATTAAATTTAATTAAAATTTTTCATTGTGTTGCTATTCTTAAAACAGCAAATTATACTTCTTTCATATCTGAATACTTAAATTAATCAAATGTTGCATAATTCCTATGGCATTTTAATCTTAAAACATATTTATTACAATTATGAGAAGCTCTTTACATATACATATATAATTCATGGATAGCATAGTACAGTAATGAAGTGAATTTTAGTCCTCGTGACATGAGGAGTCTGCTAACGAGTGTCTCTCTAGCCGAGAGTTCAAGAGCATTCTAGGTCTTTCTAGTCGAGAGTGCAGGAGCTTTCTCGGTCTCTATGAGAATTCAGGAGCCTTCTAATGTGTTGTTCCAATGGAAAAAATCTTCAGACTGAAGTAGGCATGCCTCCTTAATTTTCAGTAGTATTTTACATCCTCTGATTCATTATATCTGAAACGGTATCAGAGGAAAAACAGAGGCTTTGATGACAAACACGGTGCAGAATACTAAAATCTCCTGATTCCAGTTGTGAAGTTATGTTCTCTTGAACTGTCAACTTGAACGGATTATTGCATCTGAGTTGTCAAACCATGTCGTCTGGCACGTCACAAAAACTTGAAAACAGTGAATGTTGGGACCACACACATAATTTTCCCATCTCTAAGTGGTCCGCTGCAAATTGAATCGATTTCTTTATATTTGTTGAACTGATTTCTTTATGCATTACAATTAAAACAATATAAAACACTTAGAATATTTGTGTAAGTTTCTACTTTAATCCCTAAAAGACAGAATGCAAAACTTATCCTAAACATATTGAAAAGTTTACCATGGATATTATGAACTGCAACAAGTTTTGAATTTACTAAAAACACTGATTAATAAACATAAAAATACACAATTACTTGAGATATACCTACCCAGGACTTGTAAGATCAACAAGAACTAGATCTCGTGCCAGAAGCACAACTATAGCATATGGTTCTTGATATTCTAGTGTTTAGAAAGAAAATCACATGCTGTTAGTTAAGTGCATACATGCAAAGGAGAGCAGTTAAAATATAATGCTGATATAGAAGAGGATGCAGCTAATAGGAAATGGCTACATTATAGTATGTAAACAATGTCAGTACACACAAACATTATCTTTAAGTCATATAAATTGCTGGTTTAAGCAAGTAATATAAAAAAGTTTAGATTATGAATGAACTTTTACAACACATACTGAGAATGACTTCCTAAACAAGTGGCAGCAATGGGAGGGGAAAAATTTTTTTTATATCTACATGCTTTATATTTGGAGCATATTTTGAACGAATAATAACAGATATTTTACTTTGCGTCACTTTCTGCAATTCCTCCTACAGTGGCAAAGAATGAATGGAGGGATACATTCAACACATTCCAGTTAAACAATTTTTTAACTCATTTAAGTAACTGCTTTTTTAGTTAAACCATCATAAACTTTTGCTTATATTAACAAAATAATAAAAATCTTTCTGGTTCTTACTGCATGAAATTATTAGTAACTTTTCTATTTTAGGAACAAATTTGTCCTATGTAAATATAACTTGTTCTTGCTCTTCTCTGCAAAGTTTTTCAATTTTACTTACATTATTCACAACTGCTTTAACAATCAAGGAAAATGAGTTCAGAGTCCCAGACATATTTAAGTAATCATTATCTTCCAGTAAGTAAATCACCCCCTTTAATTTTTTAAAGATGCAGAATGCATCTTTTTTAACATTAATCTTTTAATAGATTATACCTAGTTTGAGATAAGGTCACATTCACCTTATTTTTGACACTATTAATTATATGTTTGCCAAGGTGATGTTTTCATTTATTGTTACATAATAACTACTGTATTAGATGATTCATCAAAACAAATAATTTGAAGCAATATGCTTTCAGTGGCAGAAGCACATACGTAGCTGTTAAAAGATGTACTATTAAAACTGCATTTTTTCCCCTCAGGGCAACTATTTTTATTCTTTCACATTCCAAAATTCTTTTTAATATATGTTTTCTGATTTTGGCTTAATTTTCAAACTAGTACAACTCTTAATCATCATTAACAAAAAATTAATTGTATTTCAAATAGAATAATATAATGTTATTCTTGTTATTCTAAATGTTCATTAATTAAGTTTTAATTTAGAAATACATACATAAAAAAAAAAAAAATCTTTAAAGTATTTTTGAATGCATTCTTATTTACAATATGATGAAATTTTGATAGATTCTCTAAAAATTTCCTAATATAACAAGAGATTGCATAATAATAGATTCAACACATTTTAATACCTTTAACATTGTTGAGAAAATAACAGATATAAAGAGAAAATTCTGATCAGAAGATAAAGCTCATTAGTTTTGCATGCATGTAAAAGAAAGCACAAACTAGAATAAAAGAATAAAACAGCTTATTTACGTAAAATAATGCTACACTGAAGAAACCTAAATCAGATAAACATAAGCAAATGCAGAATAAAAATACTTAAGTATTGAAAAAAACCACAAGCAGCATCCATAAGACTAATTGTTGTAGAAATATATAGGCTACATTACTGACATGGGAAAAAAAATGCTTCATAAAATATATGCTTCCATTTACAATTTGATGGGAGAGGGAAGGGGGAAAACTCAAGCTTTAAAATATAATTAAAAAAACTGGAAATTAATTCAACACCAAAAAATTTTTTTTTCTTATAACACATCAAAATAAAAGGAAGGGAAAAAAAATTAAAAGGCTGCCAATAAAAATAAAATATGCTCATTTACATATAAAAATTTTAAACATTGAAAGGTAAAATATATTCTTGTGTTCAAAATGCTGATAGAAAAGTGGTATGAAACTGGCAATACTTGAATTTGGCTGTCAGATGGCATTAATTTACTTTCTATAGAATAAATGTATAACAACATTTAACAAAGTGTAATATATACTGGCTTAAAGAACCATCCAATCGTAATATAAAATTTTAAGCAAATAAACTTTTTTAAATATTCAGAAATACATCCTTGTTACCAGAAATAGATCCAAACTGCGTTATTAATTAGAATTTTTGCCTTTGAACTCATGACACAATGTCCAGGCTAAAAGAGAGTGCAAAAGAAATAGTTGTTCAATGCTTCCAAAATGTCAGAAGCACTAAAGCAAGATGTTCCGAGGGATGTTATTTTAAGGTGATTACACAATTATTTTTTATGCTTCAAAGCTTAAGTACAAGCATTTTCCACAAATTAAAATACACTGATTATTGAAACTTGATTTATTATTTAAAGATTTAATTTTCTTGTTATTTTTTTTTTTTTGGCTTGTTTCTGAAATTTTCAGCTGAATGCAAAAGTATAAATGATTGCATAGAAAATTTAAAGAATGGGAGTGGGGTGTGGGAGAAATGGCTTCAAAGAACATCTGACTGGATGTTAAGAATACTATTACCACTACCATCAGGAAAATTTGAATAAGTCTTGATGCATTTTTGTTCCTAATAGTTTATTAACAATTAAGAGATTAATTAACTTAATTAACCAGTCAGTAAAAAAATGATGATTCTGTACTTTTTGCATCTTTCACCCTTAGTGGCAATTTTTTACAGCAGATGGATATACCTGAAACAGCAGTGAGCTAAATGATAACACATGACAAGGAGGTGAATGTGCCCAAACACTATGCCCTAGTTACAAAAAGCAAGTGTTCCAAATAATAATTAAAAAGGCTTGGTAAATTTAAAGATAAATAATAAGGTACATAAATCAGTTTTTAAAACTGTCAATTTCCAATTTAATCACGCAATAAATTGCTTATAATCGAAAGAATAACATTTGCGCATTTTTCAGGTTAAAAAAAACTGAATGACCTCACATGAAAGTCACTCTATACAAGAAAATTAAGCATTTATAACGTCAATTTGAAGAGAGTTTAAATTATTTCTTTTTTAGTCATTTAAAATTGAGTTAGGTTAAATTAGGTTATTTAATTGAGGCGAAGCACACAAGGGCTATCCACCAAGGGTTGACATGTCTTTATGTGGGACTTTCTAAGGAAAACCTGCTCAGGTTAAACATGGAAAAACTATAAAAACCAACCATGCACCAGCCTGTTTGTCTGGATCAGAACCTGCAATGAACTATCCATTATCCAACTCTTTTAACTGTTTCAGCACAGAAGGAGCCAACTTTGGAATTTTCCCATTACTTACATTTTAATACACATTTTAACTGATCTGGATTTATCAGTTAGTCTGTCGTTATACTTTACATTTTATATTCTGTACAAAAATGAAAGAAAAGTTAGAATATTACTGAATATTGCTATTATTGCTAAGGTTTAAATTTTTTAATCTAAAATTTAAAAGCAATTAATTCACTTGAAATAACCAGATATGTAGATACCTACAATTAATTCAATGTTTAATTTTTCACATAAATTTACATAATTAATCAGTAAGCCATGTCTGACAATGAGTTCGGGATTTTGAAACAATATCAAAAATTTAGATCTTATGTAGATGATCCAATTCTTGATTGATAAACAAATGCAAATAGATAACATAATTATAACTGAAAAGTTCCGAGACATTTAAAACAGCAGTGAAAATTAGAGCATTACCTGTCTGCCATGGAGTTTCACATAGAGTTACAAAGTCAACAATGCTGTAATCCATTTCTAAAACTGTTGTGGATCGCCCTTGTTGAATTGTTAAACTTGAAGTTTTCCCTTGCTCCTCGTATGGTAAACCACCAGAAAAAACGGTGATAACCTCCCTTTTAAAAGAAAACAACAGAAAATAAATATTTGTTGGTTAAAAATATGAGATTTGTGAAGTATTTTCTTTTGGAATCATTTTGCAATCAGAAAAGAAATCAACAACATGATTTATGATAATGAAAGTCCCACAGCAGTGCTCATAGATATATCATACTACAAAAAAGGGATTTAATATTTTCAGTTGATATTGCTATTAAAAGGAATGACATATAATTTTCTATCACCCGATTAAAAATAAGCATCATAAATTAACCATCTGAGCAGTCAGGTATTTTTGGATGGTCCACAACTTAATGTCGGCCACTACTTTTTGAGTAAGTAAAAATACTCCAGTACAAAGTCTTTCATCCGGACTCGTTGGGACTCGTAGAGACATTAGGTAATTTTTGAAAGCAGGAGAGATTAAAAAATTAGCAACACCTTCATCAGGGATCGAACAGCGGACCTCTGGAATACACGCCCAGCATGCAAACCACCACACCACAAAGGCATGCCAAGAAGGTGGGAGAAATACCTTAAAATTTTAAGTTTCAGTTTGCAGATTTTAATATTATGGTTGTACGAAGTGTTATGTAAGTGCATGCATCATTAGCATCATATAAAAACCATGTGGGAAGGAATTTTAATATGGCACAGTTTAAAACTCTTTCTTACCACCAACTATTTTAGGATGGAAAAAATAAATAAATTAATTAAAGAAGATTGTTAGGGGATTATTGCAAATTAAGTTACTATTTTGTTTTAGCACTTTCTTTCTTCAGATATTAAAATTGTAAAAGATACTGCTGCAACTATTTTCTACCAAAAGTGTTTTATCAACAATAAAAGTGTTCAGTCTGCCATGAACACATAAAAAATTTTATGAATAAGCAATCTTCATTAACATCTATGATCTTCATTCATCTAAATTATTACATGCATTTACATACACATATCTTTAAGTATTTCAGACACATTTTTCATGATGAGAATACTAAAATCCTTACCATGTAAATGAAAACATTCATGAAATTTTAGGTAAATTTTAATGATTTTGAAACTTAATTTGAAAACTTTTGAATTATTGGAAAATATTAGATTAGTAGAGTTTGATTTGATTTTTAAAACAATTAGAGTGGGAAATTTGAGTTAGTAGAAAGGGTAAAGTTGATATCCAGAAATTTTTAATTAAATCATGTTTTATACTGAATTCTTATTTTCTTTTGTGGAAACACAAATTAATAAAAACGTACATATTATTGCTAAAGTAATTTAAAAAGTTCCTTTTTTTTTTTCTTTTTTTTCTCACAGTCAGTGGATTCATGACTGGAATTTAATGATTGCTAGCATAATTAGATCTTTCTTTTTTTTTTTAACCAAATCTATTATCACAAAAGAAGCTTATTGAATGTAATAAAAATATGAATTATTTTCATGTTTGTATCCAAGTATCATTTGGCAGTAAAAGGACTTCTTCATTAGGCCTAGTTTGTGCAATATATCTGAACGGGGATTTTCTATAACATGCATACTGAATGGGTGGTATGGTCTTCTTGCCACCCAGTCTATCATGCTAATTCCAGACATTACACTTCTTCATTTTGTGTGGGGATGTTATATTTTTCCAATGGCGGGGCGCTTGTCATAACGGCATTGGGCATACTAAAGCCAAAAGTGGTAGCCATTTTATGAGGAGGAACCTAATAGGCAGCTATTGCTACCATCCTTGAAGAGACAGACAATTTTTACAATCCATGCCTTCTACGGGATTCGAAACCCAGGGCCTTTGGTATCACAGTCAGTCTTCCCTAACCACTATACCATCTGGGCAGAATGTGGGGATGTACAAGAACAAAATATACATATAATGATGAAAATTGCAAAATTTAAAACACAAATTACTCAGGTAATTGGAATTATTTCACAACAAATTTTGAAGCTTACTAGAGTGTAACTGAATATCAGTTTGATATGCATCAATCAGAAAAATTCTTACATGTCAACATTTGATAATGTAAAAATGTTAAAAAAAACCTTTTTTACTGTTATAGCAATTGTGAACTTATGCTTCAGTTCTTTTTCAGGATGTTTTTAAACATTTCAAAGAGAAGTTATTCTTCTCAATATGTGAATTTTGTCCCCATAAAAATGCAAATAGTTGCCATGTCATTGCAGGAATATTTGTTAAAAAGTTTGCGTACTAGTGATCTACGAAGAGGGGAATGAACAGCTACATTGTTAAGACACAATAATATGTGGAACAAGCATTAATCCAGAAGTCAAAACAACAAAAATCATTGTTAGTAATTCTTTTCTTCAAATAAGTGTGAAAGTCTGCTTATGATAGAAATTTATGACGAAATAATTATTATACAGTACAAAGTCCGTAATCTGGACTCGTCGGGACTTCGGCGATTCCGGATAGGGTTTTTCCGATTATAGATCATCAATTTAAATCTGGTAAGATGTCATGCAAAAAATTATACAATTAAAAATATGAATCGTAATTTATGAAAATAAAGAACAATTATGATCCAAAGGTATCCAAATTACAAAAAAAGCTTAAATGTAGTGTTTACTTTATTAAACATTTCTTTCAATGTAAGTTGTTTAAGATGCTTCCACTAACAGTTCCTTTTTCTTGTGTATATATAGTGGACTTTCCAATGCTATACTTCTCACATAATTTTGAGACGGATAGGCCTTTATCCATTTTTTGCAGCAATTCCACTTTTTGTTTAATGGACATCGAAGCATGCTTTTGCTTTGTAGATCGTTTGGCATCTCTAGAATTAGAAACTCTTTTTGACATAATCGAAATTTCAAGCTTAATTTTTATAAAATTGTTCTAACAGTCTGCAAAAAATAATAAGCCGGATCCAATTAGAAGATTAAGGAACAACGCAATCTGCATTAATTGAAATAGATAATTATATAATTTTAGCCTAGCTTATACCATCAGTTATACATTAAATGCGCATGCGTAAAGGTATTATGCACATGCGTAAACGCATATGCGCATGCGTAAAGGTATTATGCGCACGCGTAAACACTACACATGCGCAAAAAAGCTTGTAGCTTTGATGCCCGGATTATAGATCATTGTGGATTAAGGATGTACGGATTAAAGACTTTGTACTGTATTTGCCTTCTAGCATTCATAATATACATTAAAAATTAATCTAATTTTTCCACAGTGTTTTTAGTAATTTATATTTCATATTCAGATTTTTTCTTTTAGTTGGTACTTTGTATATTTGTTGTAACTATCATTCTCATCTCTTCCCTCTGGGAAGGACTGCATGATGAACAATCTTACAAGTGCTTTATGCACAACATAAAAACAATGGAAATCATTATATCTATTTTAAATATTATAAACCCAATATTAGAGAGAAAAACTTAATTTTACTATATCATATATATGAATATGATTTTCATTCTCTTTCATATGCTGTTCACTACATTCCTCTATTTTCATAAAGGGGAGTGGACAGCACAAGTGGAAAAGACGAGCAAGAAAAAGGGAAGAGATCTTACGTTTGTTAGGAGCAGGAGTCTTTTTACATAAAAAAAATGAGGTTTTTCTTGTAAATCTTTTCAGCTCAAAAGAGCAATTTGCTCAGAAGGGCTATTAAGATGAATTGAAAAAAAAAAAAAATTAATGACAAGCTGAGTTATTTTTATTTACGAACTGTATACATTAATAAATAGTTATTTTCTATTTTATTGACATATTAATAAGTAAATATAAGGATGAATGTGATATTTGCCAATAGCAATTAAACTGATTCATTTAGTCACAAATCTCACTGGTAAATTTAGGTAAGCAGCTATAGCAGCATAAACTCCTAAAATTGATGCCATTCTTAGGAAGCCAGCAAGAAAAGGAGCAATTATTGATCAAGCAGCGCAATAAGGAAGTACATATTTGATGATAAAGAGTTTCTAGAATTAAGAACTTTTTTAGAAGAAGTAGATAATTCTAATCTTTCACTAACAGAAAGACTGTGGAATGATCTTTCAGAACTGGAAACTCTTCTTTCTACACCGTATATAGCCACAAAAAAGCTGCAATCTGAAGAATTGACAGGAGCCAAGAATGGAAGAATTGGATATTTCTTTCTGAAATGGAGGGTTTACTGCAGAAGGAATCATTTCTTCAGTAAAGAAAAGAAACTACGAGTAGTTTGCTAGACAATGCGATCTTGCTGGGTTCGATATATGTAGATCCAAAACTCTGAATTTTCTTGGATGACGAACAAATTTATAATGCAAAGAAAGGCATTTATGGCTTTCTTTGCATTATTTTGCATTTTTTTTGCAGTTCGTATGAACTTTCATTACGAATGAAATTATTCTCATAACAATTGGAGAACTCGAATCAGGACAGTTAAACTGCAGACATTGCAATCGAGTCTCTATCATCCTCTTCTAGTGATGAATTAGATTTTAAGAAATATTTTTGGATAATAGTGAAAAGGCTACGGCAAGCGAATGAAAATAAAGAATCAAGAGTCCTTAGATATAAAAATGGAAAAGAAAATTCTACACAGCCTTTGAAGAAATAGAGAAATATGATTGCCCTTGCAAGACACTTCTTTTAGAACTTATAAAAATCTCTCCTGAAAATTAAAAGAAGTAGCCCTAACAGTAATAGCTCTTCCTCCTACTCAAGTTAGCGTGGAAAAACTCTTCTCAGCTCTGAAGTTTATCCAATCGGATCTATGGGCCTCCAACAAAGAAGATCTTGCTGAAACTATACTGTTTCTTAGAAATAAATAACGCCAGATTTTCTACTTCATAATGAATGCTAATTAATTTAAATAATTTGCTATGCCATCATTTTTTTTTTCCGTAGCATCTATTACTTCTTTTATATTAAAAAAAATAAGTTGTACCCATGCATATATGTTTACTACATATATATAAGGGAGTCGAAGTCAGAGTCATTAAAATTCCAGCAGTCGGAATCAGAGTCGGTCATTTTTCCTACCAACTCCACAGCCCTGCTCCTAAGTCTGTGATTTTGCCTACAGACAATATAATAAATTTTTTTCTTTTTTTTTAAGGGAAAAAAAAAATAACCGAAGTGTCAGAGTCTCTGCCTGTAGCACAATTTGACCATAGTTTCCTCTAGGCTGAACTCATGGCTCTGCAAGTCACTTGCTGACAGGCTTTGCTAGTGAGAATTAAGCAATATATTCAAGTGATATCTCAGAGTGTTAATACAGTATGATAGGTTACTTCAACACACTTTAGAAAAAAATTATTTGTTGATACAGTGTTAATAACTTGAGACACTGTTTGCCACCCAAGGCATTGTTTGTTCGTGATGAGAGGGTTTTGACATACAAGGTTCCACCCGTATTTTATATTGCAGTTCACAGTGCATATTATTCATTCCACTTTTGCTTCTTAAAGCAGATTTGATTAATTTTTATTTATATACCTTTAATAAGGCTTTATTGAAATAAAACATTTAATTCTGCTACTAAAAACAGAACAGTGCAATATTTTAAACTCTATAAATTTAAAATTAAAGACGAATCAGAAGTAAAGATAATAGACATCTTATTTCTCAAGCAAAATATTATTGATCTTGAATAGGAATATCACTCAAATAAGAAAAAAAACTTACCCAGCTCTATTAATTTTTGATTCCACTTTATAAATTCCATTGCATGGTTCTGGTTTGCCATCAATTAGAGATTTGGCTAGGAAAAATGCCATCGAAATTATTTAAACAAATATTTTTTTATTCATAACAATATTATGATTAAAATGGACAATAAAAATGTCTTGGCGCTTTACAAACCCAAATGGCCTATGCTGCACTTAATATAGCTGAACCATATAACATAAAAAATTACAAAGTGGGATGAATACTTTTTTTCCCCTCTCAATAAGTAAAATTAAAGCAAAATTTAAAATTTTTATTTAATGAAAAACAAATTAAAAAATATCATTTTAAAAATTACATCTAGATTTATTAAGGAGATATAAATAAAATTAATAAATGAAGACACAAGTTAAACTCTTGAATCTTGAGAGGTTTATCTGTTCAATACAGTCAAAAGTCGTTAATTCGGACACCCATAATCCGGACCTCAAAGCTAAAATCTTTCTGCGCATGCGCCTCATTGACGCATGCGCATAGGCGTTTTACTCGTGCGCGCAAGACATTTACGACTGCGCATATGCAAGGGCAGAATACGTTTTCGCGTGCGCGTTTAATATATAACGGACGGTATAAGCTAAAATTATCTAATTATCTATTTCAGTTAATGTTGATGATTGCGTTGTTCTTTAATCTTTGAATTGGATCCAGCTTATTATTTTTTGCAGACTGTAAGAGCAATTTTCTAAAAGTAAGCTTGAACTTTCGATTATGTCAAATAGAATTTCCGATGCTGGAGCTCCCAGAGGATCTAGAAAACGAAAGTATGTTTCGATGTCCATCAAACAAAAAACGAATTGCTACAAAAAATGGATAAAGGCATATTCTTTGTTTATCTAACTGTTCCGAAATCTGTTTATCAATTTCACGCTGCTCTGCGAGGTCAACACTATCGTTATCTTCAGGGCAGATGTTTTTATTTTATTCGGCTTATAATTCCTTACTAAATGTAGTATTTAATTTCGATGTACTCCGTCTTTGATATGATTTAAATCAAATTCCTCGTCATTATAAATATCACGAATACAAATCAAATAGTTTTCTGGTTGCAATTTTCTAATTTTGGCTATGCGTAAGGTATGCTTTACGCATCCGCGCGTTGAAAGAAATGTTTAATAAAGTAAACAAATAAATATTAGGCTTCTTTTTTGGTAAATTTTGATACCCTTTAGATCATAATTGCTCATTATTTTATAAATTACTGTTTCATATTTTTAATTTTATAATTTCTGCATGCCATCTTACCAGATTTAAACTGATGATCTATAATCCAGAAAAATCGATAATCCGGAATCGCCGAAGTCCCGACGAGTCAGGATTAAAGACTTTTGACTGTATAATCTGACAAACACTTGAGTAAAATGCTGAGTTACCGAAAAACATTTTAGTAAAAACTCTATGGCAAAATAAGACTGCTGTATTGTCTAGTTTGAGAAAGAGTTCAATTTCTTTATATTTGTCCAGAATTTCTAAAAGTCAAAGCACAGATAGAAGAGAGAGGGTTATTAAGCAGCTAACAAAGATAGGCTATTATATCAACTAAACATGGTATACTATTCTTCCCAAAAAAGTAAAAGCATGTCATTCAGTGCTGATATAAAATGATACTGAAGATGCAGGCCAACTGAAATTGTAGAAATTACATTCTTTTATTATAAATTTATCAATCAGACATTATCAAAACTATATTTTTAAAATTTTTTCATAAAGTATCTAATGGTATTTTAGGTTCCAGAAATTCCAATAATGGAAAAAACACAAAATCTCAAGTTTCCAAGATCTTGAATCTTGGAAAAAGATTTATGGGATTTAAAGACTTCAGTGTTCTAGTCCTATAAAGATTAAGATGCGAGTATATTTTACTAAGAAGAAAGCAACAGAATTTGAAGAGAATAATTATATGTACCTGAATTCTAGAAAGTCTAAAATATAGATATTTTTCACTTTATTAGGATACAAATCCTTTTTACTTCCTTTTATGAAGTAAAGGAAGTATAGTAATTGCAAAAAATTTTGGGTATCACATTTCAACAAAAATATCCATTTTGACCACTACTGAATGGAATTTAATGATGTTTTTGTGCAACATATGTATGTAAGGACAGAATAAAGGACTTTTTTATAGAATTTCAAATGGATTCAGAAGAGATTTTTTTTCATGACATATATTTCACATAACTCAAAAACAAGTAGCCTTAGAATGTTGAAATTTTGTATATAGGACTGCTATAACATGTAGTTGCATACCTCCCTCTTTGATTGCAATCGGTCACACTCTTCATATAGAAGAAATTATAATTCTTCATCTTAATTTCAACTTTTCCTTTTTAATTTACACACACACACATATATATAGATATATATACACACACACACTACAGATACATACATACAGACACATATATATAATATATATATATATAATATATATATATATATATATATACTCTGTTACTCAGCTTGATGAGCTCAGTTTTTTTTAATTCTTATATGTTGGTAAATTACAATTTTTTGCTTTAAAAATATTTGAATTATGTTCTTATCTTCCGGTTAAGGTTTTTATGCCTTTAGTTAATTTGCATGCAGTAGTTACAGAATTATCAGCAATTTAGAGGTTGCTTAAGAGTGGCTAAGACTAATTTTGTTTAACCATAGCACCCATATTTGCTTATATTTGAAAATTAGTAGAATAGTGAATTAAGTCAGTTTCTGCACCTTCAGTGTTTTTTTGCTGAGTGGAACTAAAAGTAAACTTTCAGTTTTGTGCATCGAAAAATTTGCCTTCTTGCCCACTGGATTAATTGCTTGTTTTGGGATAAAAACTCTAATTTTAATTGTAAAAATTAGCTTTTAAATTGTTTTAACTGTATTTGGTGTTTTATATTTTTAAATATTTTCCAATTTTTAATAAAAATATTTTGAAATTTTATGTATTTTTGCCTTGTCATAAAGTGAGAACTGAATTAACCAAATGAGAAATACATCTCTAATGAAATCTGAGGATATAAGTTTAAATGAAATGCAGAAAAATGCATATAATTTAATATTCTGTTCAAGGAAGTCATGTGGTGTACACATCAGATTTTAATATATAAAACAAATTTATTTTATCAAAAATATAAATACAGAAAAAACAAGTAAAATACATTGTTTTATATGACAAATAAAAATCATTGTTTTATATCACAAATATAGGTTGATCTTCCTTCACTCCTTTCCCATCTTCTATTAAAAAATAATTGAATAAAAAAATGACTGCATGAAGTAATAGAAATTTCAATGCAGAAAACATTCAGTTGTTAAGAAAGTTCTAATAATACATTTCTTAGAGATCATGGATTTAATTTTACATTCATGCATTTAATATAGATCTCCAAGTGCTTTTAGAAACATAGAATTTAATTTTAATATTTACATATTTAATATAGATGTCATGATGGTAGAAAGATTGCCATATATTCAAGGAATAAACACATGAATGCAAAACTTTGCATCAAATAAAGCTGAAAAGCAAACCGCAGATTTTCAATGAAAATTGTTACAATTTATTTGGTTGCCAAAATCTTGACTCTATGCTTTGTATGTATGAGAAATATGAAGTTTAAAAAAAAAATGTCTTTATAATTAGATATATTGTAAAAACTCACATGAGTGTGGGGGGGGGAAGACACAGAAGTATATTTTAAGAACCAGTGATCTTAAAAAAAAGGGGGAGGTAAAAACTCTGCATAATGAAATCCTGTTTTTTAAAATCTAAAAAGAAAGATTATTTAAATTTTCCATACATAAAAAAATAGCAAAAGTTGTTTCTCAAAATTTTTACAAATATATCTTCAATGGGATCTTTAGTTAAAATGCATGCCTGTAAGTAGTAATATTACAAGATGGAAGTTTTAAGATGCTATGATTAATAATAATAATATTAATAAAAAGTAACATTTCCAAAATCTGCACACAGTATTTTGAATAAAAAAGTAATTAGTTGCCTGGTACAATGAAATCTTACCATGTGGATAAACAACTGAGATTGGTTTGTTGGGAACTTTAACATTCCATGTTGTAAGGCTTCCGTCGCTTTGGCTACAGATAAATTGTCTACCTTCTAGCTGCCATGTTACAGATTTTAAATTTAAAGACTAAGAAGGAAAAAAAAAAAAAAAAAAAAAAAAAAAAAAAAAAATTGTACACATATAAAAAAAAGACATTTATATGAATAAAGCTTATATATGAATACCATTTAAAATAATTAGGGAGAAAATTTCACGTTTTAATAATAATAAAGTTTAAAATGACTAAAACTTCAGCATAACTTTCACTGTATTTTTAGCTGATATTAAAGAAATATATGACATATTGCAAAATTATAGAGAAAATTTTATTTTATTTATTTATTTATTTTCTTTTGTTTTTCAAATTTCATCTCAAATACTGTAGGTTTCTGTTCAACAATGAATTATAAGTATGAATATAATTATAACAATGAAGTTTTGGTTACCATATTTTTATTTCCTTTCCAAAGTTTGAAATTAAGATGAGAACATAGTGTCTCACAGGTCTGAAACAAAATCATGAGTACTTTTAGTTCAGAACTGTTATCTATCATGCAGAAAGTTTCAAAATGTTCTCAAACTTTATGTTTTTGCTATCTAAATTTTTTGTTTTTGTTTCGGAAATTTGGCGTAAATTGTGTGTTAAAAACGTAGTTTTTGCAAACATTTTAGGCTTAAAGTTCGAAATGTAAACAAAACATTTAGATAGTAATATGGCACCGTAGAATTCTCGCCAACCGAGGGCATATATAAGTGTAGTTCCAAAAGAAGTTTCTAAAACTTCATTCAAAAATTTGAAAAACGTAAGTTTGGAAGACTGCTGCAAAAAGTAATTAACCCTCTGAGTGCCATGACTGGATTTATCTGATCATGAGATTTTACGTCACTTGTTATATATTAGCTTATAATTTAAGATATTTTGATTTTTGATTTCTTTCTTAAAAAACGTAAATGTCATTTTAATGAGCGTAGGTTTATGAAAATAGAGATTAAAATAACTAAATATACAAATTTAGGTAATAAATGTTGTTTAAATACATGTCTCCATGGCAGAATCAAAATCCCTTGTCAATCAGATGATTAAATTCTATAGTTCTCATTTGAGCATGTTGCATTAAAAAATACATAAATGCCTTCATTCAGTTACAGAATGCATGGTCTTTAATACCTTTTCATGACATTTTTTTTTTTGGAAGAAATAATCCCCCTCATGTACTATTCTAATAGTGAGGTAAAAGAAATTGTAAACATGGAATTGAAAAACTTGAAATATTTAACTTTATTTAAACTAATGCTATACTAAGTAATCATTTCTTGTAGAAATACATACAGCATTAAATTGTTTAAAATTTATACTTTGATCAAATAATATCTATTGTATTCAGTAAGAGCAATATATAATGAAAGCAAAATACATGCCTTTTAATTTCAGAAGAGAATAAATTGAAAAATTCTTTAAAATGTACAAATATTCATAAAAATATACATTTTTAAATTTCAAAATATTTTTTCTTTAAATAAGTATTCAAAACATTCTTTTAAAATTATTTACATTATATCAAATGTGACATAGCTTTGGCGTGGCTGGTACAATTAATTATCTCTCTGAAATTTTTTCCATGTTTTGATTATTTAATGGAAATATGAGTCTCTATGTACTGCTAACAGAGGATTTAATCCATTACATTGTATTACTGACAGAATTTAATAGTTAGTACTTTGTCATGTCAGTGTTAATGAAGTTGTTTAACAATATATCTATTCTTGTTACTTTGAAATAACTTTTATAAAATTATGAACCAATTAAATATTTAAAAAGAAAAACACTTCCCTTTTGCATAACAAATTAATAAGAGAACTTTTCAACACGTTACTTACTTCACTACTGGAAAACCTTGCATCAGCAGCTTTATTTCGGAGATCCCATAATACTACAAGACCTTTGTCAAAACCGATAAGCAGCTGTTACAAGACAAAGAATTTAAAATTAATACATTTTGATATAAGCAAAAACTATATGTTTATTTACTTAACCAATTATATTGACTTAATGCAATTATATTAAACTTAATGCAGCATATCAGCTGTATTACATGAAGCAAATTTCTCACTATGCAGTTAGTTCATGCATACTAATGTTATTGTTACATATGGCTTTATTGGAAAGATCAATCCAAACATATAAAACAGCTCAAGTATCACACAAGAACAATAATAAATAATAATAAAGAACAAACATTTTCAAAGTAAGAATCAGAACAAATGAACATGGGAAGAAAAGTAAAAAGTTAAAAATTTAAACAAGAAGGAAAGGAACATAAGAGATGTAGTTTTACAAGTTCATGAAAGCTCTGGCATTCCAATATAGTTAGTTTACTTATCTCACCACATTTCTGAGACTCTTTATCTATTTCTGGGGATATAAGAAGATGCTCCACATTCATGATGCCTGAATTGCAAATTTGGCATATACAGTACAAAGTCCGAATTCTGGATGTCTAAAATGAATGATCTAAATCCGGATCTCAAAGCCACAGACATTTTCTTTTGTATGCTTTAGGCATGCGCATTTGATTTTTCTTCCATAATAAAACATGTGGAGATTTTCACTTAAAAATTCCAATTCTTAATTTCACTTACGCACTACATAAAATACTTCGTTATGGAAAAACAATCATGTAAGCATAAATTTGCGAGATTAATAATTTGGCTCCATAGCTGAGTGTCTGCTTGACATACATCTCAAACCGAAACATTCCCCTATTTTATATCCCTGACAAGAGCATGGCAATCTTTTATGCTAACATTACGCTTGGCGATGATTATAGATTTTTAAATGCTCATGTTAATGAGGAAAAATTAAAAAAAACATTCTTTTCATACGCTAAAAATAGATTTTGTTAATGAAACTCACAGGCCAAAAGATTGCATTTAGTGCTATTTTAATTAAGAATAACTGATATGTTATTCACCATAAACACAAAAGCAGCGGCAGAATATGTCGGCACCAGACGGCAGAATTTAGGGAAGACGAAATTTTTGAAATTTGGGGAAGCACTGACCGACAAAATTAAGGGTTGAGAAGTTTTTTATGATCTAGGGAAAACACTGGGATACAAAGTTTAGGTGTGGTGAAAATTTAGAACTTAGGAAGGCGCTTTGTAGCAGAATTTAGGACCCGTAGAGACTGCACCAGGCGGTATCTAGCGTCGGCCCAAGATGAAAGCCTTAAGTATATGTGGAAGTTTATTTATTCAGGACTCAGGTTAGTTTTAAGCATGTGAAATAAATAAATGTAGGTACAGTAAATAATTAAACTAGGCTTAATTCAGTATGCAATAGGAGCAAGACAAAATTTAGCAAAACAACTTGACTTTTGTCGCCAATCTTGTGATACACAGTCAATAATGTATAACGGACACTATTAAGCTAAGCTAAAATTATCTTGACTGATTCTAAGGCATTTCAGTTAATGTAGCAGACTGCGCTGCTCCGTAATCTTCTAATTTGATCCAGCTTATTATTTTTTGCAGATTGTTATTATTACGACAATTTTATAAAAACTAAACTTGAACTCTCGATTATGTCGAAAAGAGTTTCAAATTCTGGAGCTGCCAAAGGATCTACACAGTGAAACCATGTTTCGATGTCTATTAAACAAAAAGTGGAATTGCTGCAAAAAATGGATAAAGGCATATCCCTTTCAAAATTATATGAGGAGTATGGCATTGGAAAGTCAACTGTATACGGCATAAGAAAAAAAGAAAAAGGAACTTTTTGAAATTTTTGTGAAAGTAACGTAAACAACTTACATTGAAAGAAATATTTAATAAAGTAAACAAATATTAAGCTTTTTTTTTTTTTGTAAAATTTGATATCCTTTAGATCATAATTGTTCTTTATTTCATAAATTACGATTTCATATTTTAATTGTATAATTTCTGCATGCCATCTTACTAGATTTATACTGATGATCTAATATCTCCCAAATCCAGAATCACCGGAGTCCCGACGAGTCCGGATTTCAGACTTTGTACTGTACTACACAGAAGGATGTCAATTTTATTAAGATGATGTGCCATGCAATTGTGACCTGTTCGCAGTCTGAAGTTTGCCGCAGCCTCTTTACCGGTTTTTGACACAACTTTTCCCATGTGTTTTGAATGTTAGCCCAGGATTTGCCTGTTGATTTTGCTGCCTGGTCAGATTTAAGAGTGTTCACCAATTTCTTAAAAATATGCTTTTTAAGTGATTCTGGAGGAAGTGATTTGCTACCTTGAGTCGCTAGTGTTCCATTCTTGGCTGGTGAGCCTGCCTTTTCATTACCGTTGATACCTATATGTGAAGGGATTCATTGAAAACGACTCTTTTGTTGTAATTATAAAGAAAGTTCAAGGTTTGTCTTATTTCTGAGATAATCTGGGTATCTGTGTCATGATTTGAAACTACAGCCTGGTTGGCTGCTTTGAAATTGACTAGAATAACTGCTTTAACTGATTACAGAAACAATCAATCTTTATCTTAAGGTTTTCCAGAGCCAGTGAGACTGCAAGGATCTCTGCATCAAAATTCGACATGAAGTGTCCCACAGGAGTACATTGGGAAAATAGTGCAGTATTCAAATGCATTTTGTTTACCATACAAATGGCTTTAAAAACAGGGTGCGTCTTGAAACTCTTGCTTTTTCTCTACAATTTCTTTCACTTTGGGACACAAGTATTAAAAGTTATTTTAAAAACAGTTCCATATACCGATTGTCAATTGTGTACAATTAGAGATTTGAAAGATTAAAACTTTGAAGAATACAACATAATATGGCATTAAGTGAAGCATCAGAACTGCAACAAATACTATTACGTATACAGGTATATACCATATCAATAAACATATAGAAATCAAATAAACATGATATTTATTGCAGTATTTGAGATCTTTCAACAGGCTTAAGATTGTGCATAATCTATCCAGAAAGGTTGCAGATCAAGTGTGGTGAACTACAGTCAAAAGTCGTTAATCCGGACTCGTCGAGACTTCGGCGATTCCAGATTATCGATTTTTCCGGATTATAGATCATCAGTTTAAATCTGGTAAGATGGCATGTAGAAATTATAAAATTAAAAATATGAAACCGTAATTTATGAAATAAAGAACAGTTATAATCTAAAGGGTATCAAAATTTACAAAAAAAAAAAAAAAAAAAAAAAAAAAAAAAAAAAGCTTAGTATTTATTCGTTTACTTTATTAAACATTTCTTTCAATGTAAGTTGTTTTGTTTTTATGTGATAATACATTCTCTTTAATTCTATAAACAGACATAATTTCTTGTTCAGTTACAAAGTTCCGCTGTTCAAGTCCTATAATTGCTGTGTCGAGAATACCGACTAACTTGTCAATCGAAGTTTTTTTGTTTTCAATAACCTCTGTCACTTTCTTCACTATCGGAAGTGAATTATAATGACGAAGAATTTGATTTAAATCATATCAAAGTTGGAGTACATCGAGATGAAATACTGTATTTAGTAAGGAATTATAAGCCAAATAAAATAAATACATCTGCCCTGAAGGTAAGGATAGTGCTGACAGATCAACTTCCAATTCATTGCACGCCGCGGTGTTAAAGATAAACAAAGAATATGCCTTTATCCATTTTTTGCATCAATTCCACTTTTTGTTTAATGGACTTCGAAACATACTTTCGCTTTGTAGATCCTTTACATATTAGTAAATATATATCAGAAATTCTATTTGACATAATCGAAAGTTCAAGCTTACTTTTATAAAATTGCTCTAGCAGTCTGCAAAAAATAATAAGCCAAATCCAATTTGAAGATTAAGGAACAGCGCAATCTGCAACATTAACTGAATCAGATAATTTTAGCTTAGCTTATACCGTCCGTTATACATTATTCGCTCATTCATAAATGTATTCTGCGCACGCGCACACAGATATTCGCAGCCGTAAAGGTCTAATGGCCCTATCACTTTTATGGACGTGTGCGCTTACCCGGGACAATTCCGAGAAACGAGATTCTAGTAGCACGGCTCTAAGCGGCAGGCTTCCGAGAAATGTTTCGTCTAGCCAGGAGGAACCTGTCCCGGCTACAAGCAACATTTTAAAATTTATCCAAAAATGTTCTGGCTGCAGACGTGTTCCTCGAACGTTCAACCAATCAGACAAAAGTTCTCCTTCTGAAGGATCATGGGTAACTTTCAATATGGCGATGGCTCCCGCTGTGAAGTGATGGATGGTGGAAATAGAGGCCGATTTAATTATTGCTGTTTTGTTGTAATACAACTGCCTGAGTCATTTTTTAAATGTGTATATATTTGTTAAATATATAATCATGGAAATTTCAGAGTTGACAGTATTTTACGACGTTCTTGCAGTTTGGATTTGTTTACAAATTGTTCGTCGCCAAAAGTTCGCCAAATTTGTTGTATTTCGTGCTGATCGTGTATTATCACTGTTATATAATAGAATTTTATTTCTTAAATTTAAGTTGAATAATTTTTTAAACACCGTTTGATATGCTGTTATATAATAGAATTTTATTTCTTAAATTTAAGTTGAATAATTTTTTAAACTCCGTTTGATATGCGCGGCTTTTCTCCTAATTACTTATCTTTTAAATTGTTAATTGCATAATCAGTGACACATTTTAAACAGCATAAAAAAAGAAAAGCATAGCTTATGTAATAATGAGAATACTCATTAAATTTGTCTATTATTTTCATGTTATTAATGAAATACTTTTTGGATTATAAATACATTAGAAACTATACTTTTATTGTAAATGCCACATATTGAAAAATTGGAAATTTATGGATTTATTATTATGCATGATGAAAAACATTTGTATATACATTCATTAATATAAATCTTATTCATTACATTAATACTAATAAATATATATTAACAACTTCTAAACCATCGCATCTCTCTATCTGTATGTAAATATATGACTTATTAGATGTGTATATATATATATGTATGTATGAATACAAAAATGAACATTTTACAAGAAGTTTATTTGAAGTTCCTTTTAATTCAGATAACGATTATGTAATTGGCAGCAACTATAGTTATCAGTTCTTTGCAAATTATTATGGGTATGTAATAATCAGTTGAAAAATAATTGATGAGTATTTGAGTACTAAAGAGTGTACATATTTTGTTATTGGGTTAATTCAAAATTGTATCATATGTATGATCTACATAATAAAAACATGACTAATAAATAATAAGAAATGTAACAGCTGTGCATTTATAACATTTGATTACTTAAAACAGTGCACAACTGATTATCACTTTCATGTCTGTTTACATAATGAATTGCACTTTCCAATTAAGTGCACGGGGCCTACTAGTGGCCGAAGCGTCGTTGAACACTGGTAGTTCTGTCTCAGGTTAGAATGCCGCGAGCGGGCTGGCTACATGACATTTCCTTGGTTTGCCCCATTTGTAACTGATATATGAACCAGTTTTAAAAAATATTCTACAAAGGGATCCCTCCTGTTGTTATCCCTCGAGGCTTTGCGGTAATCACATAAAGCAAACTGAGCCACCAGCAGCCGAGCAGTAAAGTCGTTGAACACTGGTAGTTCGGTCCGAGGTTCGAATCCCGCGAACGGGCTGGCTGCATGGGCGCTTTCGTGGTTTTCCCCATGTGTAACTTGTATACAAGCCAGTTTCCCTTAGAAAGTCCTCCACGAAGGAATCCCTTCCTACTTAGGCAGATAGCCCTAGTGTGCTTTGCTGTAATCTCAATAAACCAAACCATAAAACAAACTCATGATGTGAACACCTAATTTATAGAGTTGGTATAATTAATGTGTTTTAGGTATATTACCGAGTGTTCTATGGGACAGTAAACAACTTGCACATGTTTTGATTGCTCATTTATTCATATGCTTTATTTGATCTTCATTTTGCTGAATAGTATCTGCTGGCTGTGAGGAGGTAAATATCAGCCATATAGATTTTTGTCATAGAAGGTTATTATTTTTTTTTTTGGCTGTTTGTTTGTATGGACAGAACAGTAATTATGAGCCATAAAGTTAGTCAGAAAATGCTTTCACCAGGTCACAAATTTTCCAGTGAGCCACCAAATTTTCATTGAAATGCAGACAACGGAAAATACACATAAGCGATGTGTGATAAACAGACTTATCCAGCACATGTTTTTTAAACTATTCTTAGTGTATACAGAATTTGGCTATTACTGATGTAATTGATTGCTATAACCAGAAGTGTGTTTATCTGTTACATGAAGTGCCAGAGTGGAGATCAAAGTGATTAACTTGATAGCAATCACCTTTCTATTATCTTCCATTACTAACAATAAAGTTTAAAACGAAAAGCATGTGAGCAATACAAAACAACACGAAGAAGCGAATTTCACTTGAAAGGAAACATCACTTTCGCCAACCTGAGCGATAACTGATTCTTGTTTGGTTTTTCAGCCTGTTTACCAAGTGAAGATGGTAACCCTATTTCGCCAAAGGCCGTTTCTCAGACTGTTGCTGCAAACGCTTTGTTAAGGCAACAAACAGCTAATGTGATAACGCTTTTACGCGCATGCGTCAACGCAACGCATGCGCAGAAAGTTAGTAGCTTTGAGGTCCGGATTATGGGTGTCCGAATTAACGACTTTTGACTGCATTACATCATTTTCATCTTGATGTTTTTCACACATCTAAAATCTGGCCTCTAAAGATCCATTTTGAGTTTTAAAAACTGAATAACATTTCCACAGAAGTACTTAAAAGAGAGGTGGAAAACTATGTATTTAATTCTGCATCTGCTTTTTTAAGAAGATTCTCTTTTTATTTTAGTAGTGACTTCAATGTAAAACTGCATTTGAAAATCACAGATTCATCACTAAACTGAAAAAATCCAAACTGATTTGAGAGTCAAAACAGCACTTCTTTTATTTCAGTTTTTGTTCAGCAGTCAAGCATTTTAAGGGTGATCTTCGCACACAGTTTCTTCATTGAGGTCACGCGAAGAGTCTTTTTCTCATATTTACCTCTTCAGCAAACATTCTGATGATTATCCATATGTCATGCTGTATACAAGAGAATATAAGAACACAGCTAAAAGGCCATCTTGCTCTAATTTCATCAATTTTGTCTTTAAATCGCTCTTGGAAATGTTGATTGCGAACCTGTAAAATGTTGATTGCGAAATCATTGATTTCTCACACACCTCACCATTTGATGAATTTTTATTCCATTCTCTCCAAGCTTGGCAAGAAAATTCATGGTAACTTGCTTCCATCTTGACTGTTCATGAAAACACAGTTTTATAAGAAAAAGTCATTATCTGCATTAAACGCAACTCACAGAAAAAAATTTGTATTAAAAATAAAGAATACGCCTTTCACCTTTCAGAATTATGACCGCATTACTATATAAAAAAATCTGATGGGTACACCACATGACTTCCTTGTACAGAATATTAAATTATACGCATTTTTTCTTGCATTTCATTTAAACTTATTGGATTGAATTAAATCTACTTCACCGATAGCGCATAAACCACAATAGAATAAATGCATTCTTTAAAATTCACTCTAGTATTTGTTTATCATAGCGACACTCTGGCGCTAGATTCACTTAACAGTATTATATTTTCATTCATATTATAACTCATAATGCACAAAATTTATATCATTTAAAGAATAGAATTATCTAATCGTTGCCACATGTTCTATTCAAATACTATAATAAATCTAGAATGATGTACAAAAGAAATTAAGCAAACAAAACAAGAAAGAAACAGTTTTTCACAGACGACTGAGTATTTCTCATTCAATTAATTTAGTTCTCACTTCGCAAGAAGGCAAAAATACATAAAAACTCAAAATATCTATATTAAAAATTACGAAGTAAATCTTAAACACTTATTTCCTCGAAAAAATTCCACAAAGGATTAAGCATGATTTAATTGGCAATAATAAATGAAGGCGTTATCTTTGTTGTTGTGAAGATAAGTTTCTCCAGATTGGCAACAAATCCACTAGTCTGCTGTTTCAAATGTAAACAATCAATGGCCGCCATAAAAAAGAAAGGCTTAGTGGCACTTAAACAACTTTAAAATTGTTGATAATTCTAAAAATATTGCATACAGATTTACTAAAGGCATTAAAACCTTAACCGGAAGATAAAAACAACATAATTCAACCATTTTTAAAACAAAAAATGTACAATTTACAAACATATAAGAGTAAAGAAACTGAGATCACTGAGCCGGGTAACAGAGTGGATATATACATATAAATATATTTATATACGTTTGGTGCGGCCGATTGCAACCAAAATAAGAGGTGCACATCTACATGTTATAGCAGTCCTACATACAAAATTTCAACGTTCTGAGGCTACTCGTTTTTTGAGTTATGCGAGATACGTACGTACAGAGGCCACGAAAAATTCTCTTCAGAATTAATTTTAAAGCAGTTTTATAATTTTTTTGGAGGAAATGAGTCTTTTATTCCGTCCTTACATACAGATATTACACAAAAACATCATTAAATTGCATTCAAAAGCGGTCAAAATGTATATTTTCGTTGAAATATACAATACTTCCTTTTTACTTCGTACAAGGAAGTAAAAATAGAACATTAACCTATGAATGTTCTAAATATATTATGAACATTTATGCCAACAACCGGACAGAAAGCACAGAGACAGAAATTCACAGCCTGAAATGTGTTTATAAGAATATTTTTTAGTAAGTATGGACAGTTGCCAAACATATTTTAGATAAAATTTATAAAACAGCAAGATCTTGAAATTCAAATTTTGCACTATAAAAAATTATAATTTTCAATGCAGTCAGAAAAAACCCACTGCATGAATTTTATCAAAGCAATAGCACATTTTGTATTAGAATCTGCATAAATGGAACAAAAATACTCTGATGCATCCTGAAATTGTTTTATTAAATAGCATTATTTTTATCTGAATATTAAATCCAAAAAATCTAAAAGTGCATCATACCTTGTTGGAATCTAAAGGATTTTCACTCAGATGAACTACGGAACCGGGATGTGTTTTACAAGAACTAAAGTTTGGAAAGTGTAAAATAATTAGTAAGAGAAATTGTATTAAAATATAAGATTAAATGAAAATTGATACTGAAAACACATTTATAATTTAACAATATAAGAATAATATACACTAAAGAACCAACATTATCTTCTTAATTTATACAAATATTAATAAAATACCAATTTAGATCAGAAATGAGAAGAAGCATTAACTTGTGAATTGTTTAAACGGCATTAAATGTAACCAAGATGACTGTTAGCAATGTTATTAAACTCTTAATTAAATATAATGAAATATTTAAATTTTTGTGTTTTTAAATAGAAGGCATATAAATGGTTAAAAACATGACATTCTACATACAAATATATATACCTTATATTTTACAGCAAAAAATTCAATATAGGGATATGTTTTATACCTATTTTTCATTTTTTATTAAATGAACAAAAACAAAATAATAATTTTTTAAAGCTTCTTACAGATATCTGACATGTAAATAATACAAATAAACTGTTTTTCAGATATTATAAACTCAGGCAAGAACAGCACTTTATAAAACTGTTAAGTTTCAAGATAACAGATTTTCATAAATGACAAATATAATGAAATAAATAATGTAAAACATGTAACAGTCAGATTTTCATAAATGACAAATATAATGACGTAAATTACGTAACACATGTAACAGTTACAGATTTTCATAAATGACAAATATAATGACATAAACTATGTAAAACATGTAATAGTAAATATTATGACTACCATGTAATAATGACTAACATATGTTAATAATAAATAGCAAGAAAAAACATTAATGAAAATGAATACTGTCTATTCAAGGTAAACAGAAATTAATTCAAAGCTAATATTCTCATACTTACAGTTCTACTGCCTTATTCCAATAGATTATATATCCTGAGAGAGTAAAAGATTCAACATTGACTAAATGTACATTGCCTTTATCTGTACCTGCATATAGCCACTTGCTTTGAAAAGGTAAGTGGCAATGGGTTAACCTGAAAATAACAAACATAATAATAATAATAATAATAATAATAATAAATAATAATAATAAAAAAATCTAGAAGTAAAAGAAAGTTTCAGCAAATTTTCACAAAATAGTAACCGAAAAGCTTCTCTGCTTAAATACATATACTTTTTTATTAATCACAATGATTTTTTATTCATTATATCTGACTCTTATTAATTGTTTTACATCAATTACATTTTATTAATTATATGATGTATTTTTTAATAATTATAATGATGCAGAATATTTTCATGACTATTAGCTGCATATATTACAGACAAAAAAATATTTTTAATTATATCAGTTAGTTACTCAGTAAAATTTCTCATTTGCATCTAATTAGCATATTTGTTTTCAGAGCTGATGTGGTGTGTCTGCTCACATGTGCCAAAATTTTGTTTGCATTTTAAGGCTTTTAAATTATTTTCTGGTTTTATTATTTAAATATTGAAATAACACATCCCTTTTAGCAATAAATAAATTCACATGAATATATGAATATACTCGCAGTGATGTATGCATATGAAATAATATTTTCTCTCCCTGTGCCAACCATGAGATAACTCAGAACTAGATAAACAATACTCCCTTTTCTATGCCTTCCCACAAAACTCCTGCCCGTGCGATATGTTCCCATTAATCATACATGAGTTATTGAAGAATTTGAGCAGTCCTTTCAGAACACCTTTCAACAAACAAATAAACAACAACAACAAAAAGAGGCTTTTCCTTTTTAGTTGTATCTATGTTTTGAGAAATAAATTATCCATTTCAGTATCCTAAGGGCATTACTTGGTCCCTTCCCTTACACCGAACACCTAAATATTTCATGCATGTGTTATGGCTATGTGCTGTAACTATATGCGATACTTATAATTTTATATATTTTTTCACATATTTTACACCTCAGCTTTTTAGCACCAGGTTCTGAAAATTTAAAAATCTTTGTGTATTTTTTTTCCTTCCTCAATGTATTCAGAGAATGAGTTCCCTTAAAATTTAAAATGAATTAATCCCTGCAGTGATTGTTTTCATCTTATTAGCAAAGACAAACCCTTGCAACCTATCTTTGAAGCTCATGCGAAACCTTTCTCTTCTAACTGCTGAATTTTATGCCAGCAAAATACAGGAACTGACCAAGCAGCAAAGCAACATAAACTGACATTTATTATGATTTTGCTGAATCTGAAGCACATTCACACACTCTAATTATTTATGGATCATTTAATGCTTAAGGAGTAGCAAAAACAAAAATAAGAATAGGCGAGATTCAAGTTACAGGAAAAAAAAAGTAGATATCCAGCTAGATATTGTAATGTTAATATTATTATGTGTCTTTATTGGAATACAGGCTTCTTTTAAAGAAATAATATTGTGATATTTATCCGTAATTTATTTATTACACTCTTATTGTAATCACATCATTCAAAAATTAAATTATTCACATAATTTTCCCCTCTCATTTTTGGATGATAAAATTACTAAATAAGAAAGAAAAAAAAAGAGAGAGAGAGAGAGAGAGAAGATGCACAAAGAAATATGGTATACACAAATGACTGACAACTGTGAACCAAAAACTTGGACGGGAGACGGAAAAGAGAGAGAGAAAATATGCGAGGAAATATGGTATACACAAATGTGACAACATGTAAACTAAAAACTCAATGTTGCTTACCAATAAACACCAGAGTGTTCATTATTCCTCCCTCCCCCCCCCAAAAAAAAAGACACTAGTTTGTTAACATATAAAGCATTCAAAAATGTTTGAACACACACCTTTCTTTCTGAAATTTTAAGGACTGTGCAATCTCAGGTTTTTTCTGTCTCAAGTTGCACATATGTAAATAGTCGTCACCGGTCACAGTAACCAAGGCCCCCTAAAATAATCAAAATAATGACTTTCATTTTTTATTCACAACATTCTAACAGAAAAATTTTAATAAACAAGATTTACCTCATTTATTAAGAACAAAAGTTGAAGAATGGGAAAATCACTATGTTCCATAAAGCATTCAACTCCTGGTCTACCAAAGCTGTTTTAAATTAAGGAATAGTAATGCTTACCAGAATTTATAAATCCATAACTTGCACAGAGTAAATTTACGTCTATGAGCAGAAATGAAAAGGATACATGCGAAGTGAACCAGAATGGGTACCGATGGCAAGAAGCCTCTGGATGGGATCAAAGGCAACAGCTGTCGGATGAAAAGGAAAACCATGGCGCACAGTCTGCAAAGAAAAAATAATTTAATTTAGAATAGCAATCACTCAATACTTTAAAAAGCATATAATTAAAAATATGATTAAAGGATTATTTGGCATCATGTTTTCGGAGTAAATAAAAATGAGATGGCAGAAAATTAAAAACCAATAACATTTGCAAACTGCTAGAACATATATCAAAAACAGGGAGCTGAATTAAATAAAAATTGCTGATTTACGATTGACTGAATTTGCATTTGTTTTATTATGACAAAGCATATTACAGATAAAAGATGAGATACATTTGTGGAAGACTTTTGAGAGAAAGTGGCTCCAGTTCACATTACAATGACACAAAACCATGAAAATACCTATGCAGTCAGCTCATGCTTCAGGATCTGAAGCTCGAATTGACTTATAGTGTGTCTTTGGAGAGGAACAACCATAAAATAATCAACAAGATTCTAGTAGGTTGCATTTTTGACATTTGGAATAAGCATTGCTTTCTTCTGTTTAAATTAGTTTAAAAAATGAAAAAAACTGCAGTCATACATGATAATATTTCAGCTTGAAAGCTAGAATAAATTGATGCTGAAAAATAATACTATTTTCAGTTGATAAATATTATCTTGTGTATCTACAGTTGCTTTTTAAAATAAATTACAAATTCCCATCCCCCCCCAAATGAAAACCAGTTAGAAAACGAATTAATACGAGTCAATTTTTAAGTTTTTGTCTTGAAATTCTAACTTGTTAAGAACCCTTGATTTACACAATACAGAAAAATCATATAAATTCTGCCTCCCATTGCTAATTTATTCTAACTTCCCATTGCTACAAAATAAAGGAACATTATTTGAATTTGTTAAAATGGGAATGATCAGCTAAATCATTGAAAATTTAGATTCATTGACATTGCTTGATGAATTTAGATTCATTGACATTGCTTGATGCAATGTCGCTTGCCAGCAATTTTATGTTTAAAAACGCCTTTAAAATGGCAATAATAATTTTGTGATGAAAGACTTTCACTGGACACTTGCTGGATTCTTTCTCATTAAAAAACGAGGCAGATAACAAAATTCACTTCATAACTGCATTTCCTATAACCCATTTAAATTCTTAACAATATTCTTCCCATATTTGTTATGACGCATAACATTGTTAGCGCACATCCTGTCTTTCTTTTCTCTCATTGACCTGCACACACGTTTCCGACGTTAAGAAATTAAACTGACTCTTGAAATTCTGTCTAATGACATGAAAAATTAATTGCAGGCTCAAGATTTAGTTCACATACTAAATGAAACTGATTTTTTGAAACCATGTTTTAGACGAAAATTCTTACTAAAATTAACGTATAAGTTCCTCAACAGAAATAAATTTATTAACGGCACGAGGAATTTTCAATAATAATTTCCACTAACAGATGGCAGCACACAAACATTGACTTCCACGCTTGATAATAATGCGCAGGTTCTTGAGGAGAGGCACCAGCTTCCGATGTATCACAGCGTCAACAAATGCAGGTGATAAGAGTAGATTACCTCATTTCATTATTTTCCACTTTTTGCAGGTGCGATATGTAGCGTTATTTCTTGAACTCAAAATCGTTTATTAATTTTACCTGCATTTTGTCAATATTCAAGTTTCAGCAACGATTACTTAACGCTTCTGGATGTTATAATTCTGATCTTAGCAAGTAATTCTAATCAGCAACAATCCAAATATAAAAATTACCAAGGCACATATCGTTTATACAAGCACATGCAAAGTTTCTGTAGAATTTTGTATATTAGGGTTTCCTTACATATTTGCATGGTTTCGATGATGATTTTAAGATGTTCTAGTCGTATTTAATGCAACAGATCATCACTTTGCAGCCTAACTTTTTAATCTAACCAAGTGTTTGCAGACAAGAGTTTAGAGAACATAAAAGTATGAGGCTTCAATAGCTTTGCACCATTTTGTTTGCGAAACTACAGAGCGTTGAGAAGAATTCTTCAAAAGAGCGAACTAAAAATTTCGTAACTAGCAAAGAGATTAAAATGGATGAACAAAAACGCTTTTACTTACAATAGCTAACTTTTTCTTTTGCATGAAGTATTTTGATGCTATAAAAATATGGTCATACGACTTTTATGCGGTCGTTTTATTATTTGATAATCACTTTATGAATAAAAAGTAAAAGAACAAGCGTTGCTTTTTACGAGATGCAGCTGTAATGAGAATTCCTTCCAACAAAGAGTGTTAATATAAGAATAACAGTGACAACAGTTAGTTTTCATAACTGCGGGAGTCCAACTTTGAGCTGCATGGCTCAAAGATATCCCATGCGCCACATCAAGGAGGTTAGAATCAACGAGATAATAGTCGTTGGTTAGAATAGGAGGATGGAATGTTCAACTCAAAAAGTGAATCCTCGGCGGCCATTATTTGCCCAAACACTCTGATTCGTACGAGTAAGACTTGTCATTGCAACGTTTTATTAAATTTTTGAAGTATGGTATCTTGTGTAGCACATGGATGTACGAACAGAACTTTTTCGAAAATTGCCGGGATTACTTTTCACGCATAAATATTAATCGGAAAACATGCTGAAAAATATGATGGTTTCATATATTTTCTTTCCAGATGTGCAGAAAAAAAAAAAAAAAAAAAAAAAAAAAAAAAGACTTAATCAAATTATATTAAATACACTTTCCTATTTCTGTTTACAACTGGTATCTTTGCTTCTTAACATGCAATGGTACACGGTAGGATTTAAACATGCTATTTGAACGTTTTAAAGAATTTGTTTCTTGAGTCTGTGAAAGTAAGAAATTGATTGTTACTATCTTTATGAATCTTAACAGTGTTAAACAAAACAATTTTTTCTTTATGTATTAATCGTTATTCATTTTTATGCATTGTAAACAGTTATAATACAATTTATGCATTTGATCAATATAAACTGAATGAAGATGAACGAAGGGGAATCAAACTTAGCACTTTTCTCGAGTTCTACAAAAACAATCCCCTCCTCCCCCGTAGAAAAACTAATAAATGAGCAAAATTAAAGATTTAAGTGTTTTATTTATTTATTTATTTTTTTTAATTTAGATTAAGAATTAATTTTTTAAATATCCCAATCAAATTCTTTAAAAAGGAAAAACAATTGAAATATTATTTGCATCAAATACCAATTTCCTGAATTTAGCTCAAATAAAAATTCAATGACATTGCTATAGCCAATAAACAATATGCGAATTTCTGGCTTAGTATCTTGCAGTTTAAAGCTGAACTTTAAGATACCTAAAAGAAAAATAACTTTATTTCATATTCCTGAAATATATTTATATGAAATGATTCTTTAATAAATAACGATAATATTGCAAGTAAATCAGAAGTATCTGTTTTTAAAGAAAACTTGGTAAACACTCAATTGGTAGCTAATAAAACCTAAGCAAATCCTTGAAATATGTAGAAACATCATTTTAAAGGCTAAATGTTATACATATGCTTTTAGATTTCGCACTATTTCTTGATAATTTCCTGCACACAGAAAATTACAGATATAACCTTTATTACTTTAAAACAAAAATTAAACAATAGCCAGGCATTTCATTCTAAATTTACATATTTTTACTGGTAAACACATGCGTGGAACATCATAGAAACAAGTACGTTTGTGTCATTGCCGTAAAGCAGTGCTTTGATACCACAAATATGGCCTCCGCCTGTTATTTAGGTTTCTTTTCAGATAGCGGTGGAAACTACGAACCCTTTTTCCTTCTATCCTAACCTCCTTGGGCGCGGTAAAAATATGTCAAGAGCTACATACAGAACTTAGCATTTGTTACCGTATGGGATATAAGTCTCGCGAGACTTAACCTCATCACACCTCCAGAACAAGGCGCGGAAGTTCAACCTCCGCTCTCGCACTTTGGAGAGAGAGAGAGACGCGATGCCTGGGACAAGCCCAGACGGCACTGGTCGTCGATTTGCTACAGGCCAGTCGCTCGGGCAGCCAGTCGCAGTGGCCCATTACCCAGCGAACCCGAGGGCGCTACCCCTTCCCCGGGCTACTAGAGCCACACCGTTCTAGACTTGCCAGACCACTGAGCCGGCTAATAGGTGACATCTTCGAGGCCTTCAGAACCACCAAGTTCATAAATTTTATACCCCCGTGGGCTAGACTGCCTAAGTACAGATCCTAGCCAGTAGCTTCGCAAAGTTCTCTACGTTGACCCCCCGGGGGGTATTAACCTATTAATAGTAGGATTGTATAAAATAATATTTACCGTGCAACAAAATACTAGGAAAAGTGTATAATCACAGCATTTTTAATGTGAATATTTAGCCTATTTTTAGAATACCAGTTTTAGTATAATAACTTGCTACGCGAATCATCTGAAATTTTCACACCAGAATAAAGTGGTTCGCAATTATCTTTATTTTTAAAAGAGAAACGTGACAATACGGAATGCTCATTGAGTGCCAGAAAATTTTCTTTATTATTCGTTCGTTAAAAGGGAAGCACTTTATAAATCTACATGGGAATTAATGAAATTTCAGGATGCAATAAAATTTCCTGAGAAATTCTGAGAAGAAACCTGCAAAACGTTAAGCCCTAGCCCCCCCCCCAAGCAATCTGTATAAAAGAAACTTCTAGTAGTACAAAATCACCGAAGGATTAATATGCGCATGTGACACTGAGCTCGAAAATTAATTAAGATAATTTTTGAAGGATATAACTGCTTACTGAAAGGAAATTCAAAATAAATGTCGATTATAACTCAAGCTGAATTAATGCAACTAGAACTCCAAGCACGATGTTCTTCTACAGATACCTGAAGCCTACTTTTTCTATTTCTATATGCTCACCAGCGGCCGAATGAACACTGGTAGTTCGAGCTGGACTTCGTAGGCGCTTCCGTGGTTTTCCCTTATGTCCTAACATGGATAAGAGCCAGTTTTTCTTATGTCATTGCTTTCCCTACGCATACATAGATTTCGCATGATCTGCCATAAGTAAATAAACC